GATTCGGAAACCTGATTTGCTTGCAAAGGCTGCTCCTAAGATCTAAGATGAGAATGACACAGCTGATTCCGAGATCTGATTTGCTCATAACAATTTGGCCGAAAAGTCATGGGGAAAAAAGGTTCAGACGTTGCTTCCTGAGCTACCACCCACGGACCTTGCGTGGGAGGATCTTTCTTCAAATTCATGGAAAACACCCTAGAAATGATAGCAATTGCTTCAGGGTCGATAGTTCGGAACCGTTCTCTATATTCAAATGTAATTAACACCAATGTTAGACTTGATTTGAATCGTGAGCAACAATTTGCTGAACTCAAATCTGTCAAGCTCTACTTAACAACGAGCTGACCTTTCATTTTAAACAGCAGAAATCTAACTGACATATCTTAAGATCGCATCAATACTATGGAAAAAGTTTCAAGTCTACGTGCTCGTGCGAGCCTCTTCTCTGCAGGGAGTAGTTGTGGCGTAGTTTCGCGTAGGCACGTACAATTGTCTCGTCCGCGTCGTCTGCATAGTTTGTATGTTTTGTGAGCAAAAAGAGGTTCGTGCTGCATAGACTTGTCTATAGCCCAGGAATGCCACGCAGTCCGTGTAGGGGGTACGATAGCGAGAGCGTGCTGGCGCGGTCTGTTCTGCAGGGAAAAGAGCAATCCGCGTAGTTCGCATAGGCAGTCTATCTGAATACGAGGATTTCAAAACGTCATGAACATAACGAAGAGAAACCTAGTTACGCCCACTTAGAATCTGCTTTGCATCCAAGGGGGATAATGCAACATCAAATCGAAAGCAGTTTTAATTGTCCTTGAAGTCAATGTAAAACCAGTGAAAGTCCTCTTCTTCTTCTTGCTTAATCTTACCGCCTACTCCTACTTCACTAGCTACACCTGTGGGTTGTCCGAAAACCCTTGTCTACAACTTTAAATTTTAGATCAACGAAAACCAAGTATGACATAATTTGTGAAAAGCCCTGCGCGCGCAAGCTCCGCGCAAGCACGGCGCAAGGTTGGCGCAAGGGCTGGAAAACGCTCGTGGTATTAGTTTTAGTGTGATGAGCCTGCGCGAAAAGATTGTGAGCCAAACTGTGCGCGCGCAAGCTCGCACAAGCACAGTGCAAGCCCCGAATTGGAGATGAAGGAATATTGGACAACCCTCTTTTACTTCTTCCTCCTCATCCTCTAACTCACGCCCTTGTTTTTACTCTCAGCTTTTTCTGCTACTGCTTAACTGTACCAGTTGTACTTGACATGATTTGCTTTTCCTTCTGGGATCAGAGATCCCTCTTCAGTGAAACCTGTTTTTTTGGTGCGGTTATTTTTTACGGGGGGGCGGGAAGGGTGGAGCTCATTACTGAGGAGATCGGATTAGTTATGGAGTATAAGACTAGATTGCGTTGCAGCCGTCCATGTTATTGAGTTTACGCCACTGCTTGAAGCTAGCAAATCAGGGCCTGAGCCATGGAATAACTGAATAGCACAAGCTGCTGTTGCAAGCATTGCGTGCAACGAGACAGCTCGGTTGTTGGCTCCCTGTGCAGTCTTTCTGTGCAGCATGTCCTCAAAACAGATTCAAACAGATCATGAGTTTGATCAAGCTGCGAGATTCTTATGCCCAGCATACACTTGACCTCACTGCAGGCCCCCTTCGACCAGGAGAAAACTCTATGGGCTGGGAACTGAAGGTTTGATGACCTGCCGTGTGTAATATGTAAGCGTGTATCTGCAGCACATGGATTTGATAGGAGAACCCCACGGTGGTGGAATGCCATGGCTGTCTTGTGCTAGTGTTTGCGTGTACAGGTCTCAGGAAGATTGTTGATAAGCATACCATTGAGCCGATCAATCTGTGTGCGCCTAGGTAGAGCCTAGTGGCGCTGCTGGGCCGGAAGCTGCCTGGATGGGACCCCTTTCTGCGCGAGAGGTCTTGGAGCTTGCCAAAGCCCAGACTTTGGGCCTGGAGCTGAGTGTAGGAGTCAAAGGAAGCTGTTCGCCCATATGTTGGAGCCTCTTTCTCTACCTTGCCGCCCTCCGGTAAATAAACAAATTGGGAAAGACAAGCACCTTAAGAATCCTTCCAACATGTGCTGCGGCTGAATGCTGCGTCTTTTGATTCGCGGACCCTCCAGATTCATGCACTTCCAGAGCAATCAGATCACTGGCTTTTCTTGGCGTGATTCATGACAGTCATGGTTAAAGCTCAAGCGTTTCAGGCACACCTCCGCATGGATACTAAACTTAGTAGACGTAGCGCTCGAACCGTAGCTTTGGGCGACCAACCCAGCACTATTGACCTGCTGTATCCTGCTGTCAGGTCCAGAAGGGCTCGTATACGGTGTCGTACCAGATGCTGCCCGGATGCACCGAGCAGTATATTCCAGCTGACAACAAATTGCCACGATGCACAATCCTCTTCATTGAGCCTTGCCCTTTCATCACAGTCAGCCCCTCACTTGGCAGTAGCATATGGACGGATAACAGCGATTATAGTGGTGAAAACATGTTTAAGCCCTTAGCAGTCCAACACCTTTGCTTTGCAGGGTTGATCTCAAGATGCGGGGTGGAAGGGATTTCATGATCCACCCGAACAGGCTGCAGGACCACCTCCCGACGCCAAGGGAGCCCAGCCATTATGGTCGCAGCTCCCAGCTCTGTAGCAAAACTGATGCATGCACTCAGAGGGTGGAGCGGCATCCATTTCAGATCGAGTGCGTTGAAAACCTTGCCTGCGGTCTCTCCAAGCAAGGCAGTGCCTGCCAGAACTTGGCAATCAGCTGCGGCGGGCATCGGAGGCTGGCCATGGCTAGCCGGCACTTTTTGGTGTTGGGATTGTACTTACATGATGGGCCAAGTAGGGCATGGGCCCTCGCAGACACCTTGCGTAATCGCAGGCCGACCCCAAACATGTCAACATGAGACTTGCAGAAAGCAGGCTGCGCCATGCCCTGGCCAGGTCCGCCTTCGCCAGCAACTTGCCGAGCGCTTCAAGAGAGCACCGCGGCAGGCGCCAGGAAAAGTACTTCTTCTCACATTATTCAAACGGAATGAGTGAACTCTGGAAAACCTTTTGCCAAAAGCTGCCTTGGCGGATGTCACCAGTGAAGAGAAGATTTTTATGCCCCAGGAGGATGCCACCGACATCTTACCTGCGGACAGGCGGGCAACCAGGACAGATACTTGAGTTCTGGATGCTCCTGTGCGCGCTTCGAGCAGACCCCAGAAAGTCCCAGGCACAAGAAGGCTGAATCTTTACAAGTCCTGGCCAAGCCAAGAGGTTTCTCACAGATCCAACTGCTTGCCCTCCACGTGAGGTGAACTTGCGGGTTCTTGCGCGTCTGAGAGCTGGAAAAGCTGAATGGCGCATCTTTCGCATATTTCTTCTTTCGCGTTGGTGGCAGGCAAGACGAATAGCGTCTTTGCACAGCGGTGCACCATACAGGAATCATCAGGACTCATTAGCGTGTTTGCTTCAGCTATCTCCTATCGTGTTCCAGACACAGATCTGAGTGGCAGCAAAAGCCTGGTTCGAAGAAAAGTGTTGTTGTCGGCTGCGAGGTAAGCAGACGGCATAAGGACTGAGCAAGTGCTTGATGACTTGGGAAGCAGGGCGCTTGCACATGCCCCTCAGCCGGGTTCATTGGAAGTCAGGTCCAGGGTCTAGGGTCTGGAACCAGTAGATCGCTTTGCATAAGCCCCGTAACAACCTCAGCTGAGACACAGTCGCGACCAACTGCCGCAGGAAGGCAGCGAGCAGATCAGAACATGGGCGGCTCGTCTGCAGAATTCCTGGGATGTCAGCAGCAGGTATTGCTGAATATGTTATGGCTTAGGAGCAAGCGTGCCGGTTGATTCTTGCTTCCACGTTGATGTGGGGACGGAGCAGCAAAAGAAGCCAGCCTAGCCTAGACACTCCCATATTTCTCCAGCCTGAATTAGGTCATCATCTTCTTTCAACGTCGACTTTGAAATGGCCGCATGCTAAGCTACTGATGATATCTGGCACCTCCGAACGCCCAGAGACTCTTGGGGTTAGAGGCTTGGAGACCTGGTTTGGCTTCAACAGTTTTGCGTTCATTAGACCATTCAGCGAAGCCTCGAAGCTTACTTACTGCATTCATGATTCATGGCCTGTGGTGGCGATCCTGATTTGTGACAAGACCAGGAGCGTCGTCTGCAGTCTGTCAAGCCTCTTTGCGAAGCATTGCTGGCAGAGGCACGAAGAATAGGGCGCCAAGACTTCGCGACTGGTATTTTGGGTTGGCAGTCAGTGCTGATCTATACAGGAGGAAGGATGTCCTCCTTCATACGGTTCTGCCACGCGTGTATGTTTGCGCTTCACCGCTAGCAGGTGGACATAGCCGGTGATGATCAGGCAGCCAGACCTGGGACCATTGGGAGGGTGCAACCAGCATGTGCAGGGTAGCCTCTCGCGTCCAATGAACCCCTGCGTAAACTTCAGTCGGGTGGCCGTGGCCACTATGCTCTTCAGGCATGGTTTCGCGAGGCTTTGCAGAACCTGGGAGTCCAGGCCATCTGCAATGCAAAGTCAGGGTCTCTTGTCGACGGCACTTCACTGTATGAGAAGATTCTCTGGTTTTCATTGGCTCCGGCAACCGCTCCTGTTGCACCCAGAAGACACCGCCTGCATTATGTGTGGATGCCATTTGTTTGCAGCGCTCGGCCCAAGCTGCATCCAGCATGGCCCAGGCGTCCAGGTCCACACCCCAATCTTTACTATGGCCAAAAGAATCTAAGAACTTTCAAGAGCTCTGCTTACTCTCATTTTCTTAAGATATACGTATCGTAAGGACTTGGACACCTGTGGTGATAAGACTGGAGCACTAGCCTGCTTGAGCTGTAAGGAACCATCATTTGCGAGTCGATAGGTCTCAGCCACCTTTGATTCTCGAGTTCCAAGCTTCTGTTCAGCAATTGCTTGGGCATCAGGGTTGGGTTTGGATTTTACAGGCGTATGTAATGTAATCTAATGTCTGCCTCAGCCGCATGGCAAAGAAGCGAAAAAGGGTGCCTCCGGCACGGGAAGCTGCGCTAGCCTTTTGGGCGTGTGCCTTGCATGCAAGAGCTTCGATATGAATGTTTGCGCCAATCCGCAGGCTGTCCTTCGCCTCACTCGGGTTTGCTGAGGTGTGCTGCACCGCCTAGATGATGCAGGAGCTGACCCTGGGTGTGCCCCCTTGCCAGCGCGGTTTTCGAGTGCGGCAGCTTACTATTCCAGCAGCCCGGTTCGTTTTGCTGGGGCAGGATGTACCCTGTCCAGACCTCGCACCGTAGATGTCTGCATAGAGGCTCAGGCCAACTTGATGAAGTCCAGGCCTTGCCACCCTCGTCCTGGCAGAATCACGAGCCCTCGCTCGGGCAGCGCGGCGTGTGCGGAACAAGCCTTCTGAGGCCAAGTGGAAATTGTGGATAATGAGTGGGACTGTGGCCTGACAAGCTACAATAGCAAGGCAGGTGTAGGCTGAGTTCGGAATAGGTCGCCTTGCAGCTACAGGCAGGCTTAAGCTGAATATAACAACTGATTGAGCAAAGAAGTATTCCAGGAAGGCCTGGCCATGCAGGGCCCGCAGATGCCCGCAGTTATCTGCCAGCTGGGAAGGCGACGTTGACGTCGCTGACGCAGATTTCACCTGGAAAGGCATCGTGACTGCCTGCGAAGCCTGTGCAGCATGTGCTTCACTTCAGTGGTGCATCTGGATTTCCCCGAAACAGAGTGAATAAGATGCCAGCATAGCCTTTCGCACTGTGGCGGAGGAGCCCAGTGCAGTGCTGCCTTTTCAACAGCACTTGCAGCATAGTGGCACGATTGCCAGGCAGCGAAACAGCGCGGAGTTTCTGAGCCTCTTCTGTGCCTTGGGCTACAGGTAAAATCTTAGAGGCATGGATTTCATTTAACATGCTTGTGCTTTCTCTTTCTCTAGGTGCTTCAAGGCTCACGTTCTGCCGGGTCCTGGCTGGTCTAGACCTCAGACACTGCTCTCCCAGTGATGGCTTGGGCACACAGCTGTAGCTTCTAGACTAGGCCCAATTCGGTGACTACAGGGAGCAGATATCAGGTGCCTTACCACGTAGATAAGATGGGTGGATGCGGCTGCTGTGTTTTGCACAAACTTGCTGTCTTGATTCCAGCCAACTGACTGAAGCTTTGGCATAAGCATCGCGTATGGGAAGCCTAAACCAAATCGTTACGTCGTTACGTCTAGGGTGCTCCCTGGCCCAGAGGCCCACTTTGCGCACTGCTTGGGCTGTGGAGCTTCGGCCACCAAAAGAGCCGCTTGGAGTGGCGTGTAGTGGCAGATCTTAGTGTCCCGTAGACATCCATGGACCGGATAAGCCGCAAATGGGTCGTCTGCAGGAAGAAGGGGGCGCTGTTCTTTGTGGAGCGTGCCTCAACCTTCAGTGGCCACGGGCAGGACCTCCATCTACTGTGCTCGTAACTTCGGCATGGGTAAGAAACACCATACATGCAAAGAGGGCTTGCCCGCTTTTGCCGGCTTTGCTACACACTGCTTCCACTTAATTCCTCTGCGGTGCGGACAGGACCTGCCGCTAGGCTGTAGAAGAGGCCTCTGTGAGTAAACCCAACCTCTCAATGCCGCAGGCTCGCGCGCACGCCGCAGACATCTGCTTCATCAGCACGATTGGTCTTCCATTTCAGCTCAGAAGTGCATTGAATGATACCTCTTCGCCACCTGAAAACCCGGCGGAAGGACAGCATCATCAGAATCATGGACTGTTAGCACTCCAGAAGCGCATCTTGAAAGCATGTTTAATTCCGGAAAGGTTTCATACAGCTGGCCTATCGCACGCACACTCACACCCAGGGCAAACCCTTCATACAGCCACAGCAATTTCCTTAAACCCTTCTAGAGCACTTGCACATCTCATGAAGCCTCGTACGGCGAGCGCGGAAGCTCTCGCAAGCTGTCACGGACGGAAGCTCTGTTTTCAATCCTTTGAATTCCTGTCAGAAGCAGCTTAAGCTGGGGCTCTGGACTGATACTAACGAAGACTAGAAATCCCTGTTGCGGAAGCGCCGTCAGCGGAAGAGCCCGCGGAAGCACAGCGCAGGAAACCTGCCAGTCTTTGCGGAGGGAAGGTCCGCGGAAGCTCGCGGGCCGGAGCTTCCTTATTTCCATTGAATTTATATACTTATTCATTTTAGTGACCAGGCGTTGCGCGGTCGATGAGGGTTGGGTGCTGGCCTCACGGAGATTATCACGGTTTCTGCGAATTTTATGATCTGTTTAGAACATAGTTTCCCAATGTTTCCTATGGTAAAGAGAATTGTTGATAGCTGTTCTACAAATCTCCTGGGGCAAGTGTGCAGTGCTGGCAGTTGGCCCCCTCAAGTCCGACCATGCTGGTGAGTTTCAACTATCTCTCAGGGATGGTGACCATACGCTGCCGGAAATCACCGCGGACCTGTGCTGCTTAGGAGTTTATCTCTCTGCTACCACGGGAGAGCAACCCAGCCTTCACTTTGCACTGCAAAAAGCATGGAACGCCTTCTTTGCTCAGCTACCGCTGTGGAATGTCAGAGTACCACTTGAAGTCCACTGTCGCAACATGGACAGGCTTATCAAACCCGTTTGGGCGTGGGCCCTGGGTTGATGCACATAGACGACGTTTCTGCACGGCACGAGAAGCCATTGATGCCCTTGTGTGTGACAATCCCCTGATTTGCTGGGCAAATGTAGCAGTGATCCGGCACTGGCCTCATTTTGGCCATTGCATCCGCTCTGCGATGCCCATGGTGCAACTCTTGTTGTCCCACAAGAACATGGAATGGGGGAGGCAAAGCCGGGGAGTGGTGGTGCACCCCAGGAGGTGGTACGTTCGTAGGCATGAACAAGACGTACACGCGTACTGTCGTGCACATCAGCTGAACCTCACGGAGTTGGTACAAGATCGTCATCATCACAGATGGCAATCTCATGAGGGTGCGTTCATGTGCTAGATGTTTCGCCGCTTAGTGGCTGCATCCGCCGCTTCTGTTAACTCTATGCTAATCATGTTTTGTCATGTTCACCCCGAGTGCAATGACATGTGACCGGCGCACTGCAGCGGGGGCTTTGCGTCCGCATGCCGGGAGAGAGAGAGAGAGAGAGAGCTGTATTTCTGGGCTTATGACAGTTTTATGCAGGGTTTATTGGGGCTGGGGTGGCGGTGTTCAAGTCTAGCGCGTGTGACTGCAGATGATTTGGCTTCAAAAGCTCGACAATGTGTGCGAGTGACAGAAGCACTGGAGTAGCGAAATGGAGCCCTGTTTATGCTGATGATGCTCGTGTACGGCTCGCACAGGGGCGCACATTTCCCGTATGCGAGCATCATCAGTACTGCGTAACTCTCAGAGCAGGTTTACATTTACTTGCGCTCTTTAAGCTTCCCCCATCGCATGGAGGGATTTTGCCATGGATTTGTGGGATCTTCAAGACCCACCCAACAAGGCAAAATGAACATGATTTTTTCCAAAACAAGCTCTTGTGGAGAGGCCAAGCGGCACAGAAATGATGCTGGCAAGAGGGCCAGCGGCCAGCATCATCAATTGTCAAAGATGGTCAGCATCGTCCGTCGGCCGTTTCTCCTTTTCCAGGCACTACTACTGGAACTCACAGCTACTCTTCCGACCTTTCGCTGGCTCTTGCTGTTGTTTATGAAAGCGGCACCCTGCTGCTAGGCCTGAAGTGTAGCTTTGACTGCTGGCATCTAATCGCTAAATGTCGCTAATGTATTTAGGCGTACCAGTAGAAGTCATCGTAGAAGTCGTAGTGATCGTCGTAGCAGTTGTTGTAGTAGTAGTCGTGGTGGTATTGCGTAGTCATCAGGTAGCCGTAGTTGTAGTAGTTGTCATAGTAGTCAAGCTGTCAGGCTAGCATAGCATAGTGTAGCCGTATTCGTCGATTCGTAGTGGCCGTCGTCCTCGTAGTCGCGGCGGCGGCGGCAGTAGCGGTCGCGCGGAAGGGGCAGCAGCGGCGGTAGTGAGTGGTGGTCGTCATCAGAGCCGTAGTTGTAATCGTAGCCGCACACATGTTGTGCTACTGACGATTTGTCATTTGCCACTGTGTTATTGCCAACGCCGCATCTTGCTATGGAAAGGCATACTTCCTGATTCTGCTTTGATTCGTGTCGGGGTCTGAAACCTTCCTTCGTAAGGCGCCTTTTTTGTACACATTTCGTCAAGATTTTTGGCAACACTTGGGCCCAGTACATGGCAAAATCGTGTTTGCCTCCTTTCACTTTTCCGGCGAGCTGTTACATCCGTGCTAGCAATTCACCCATTCAGCCTATTCACTTGCATCGGATGACAATGTGAACATGCATGATCATGATAGTAATTCATCTCTGCCTCCAAATGACCTTTTGCTTCCATGGCTTGAATCCAACGACAGAAACATATCCATCAGAATAGCATGGTTGCCTAAAAGATGGCTTGCCCATGATCATTCTGTTGGTGTTTGTTAGTTTTTCTTTTTCGATTTTTGCATCGGATGGTCAAGTTATTTAAGAGCATGTAGGTAATATTTGCATCACCCGTATGACGAAGATATCAACACCACATGACAAAGATATTTGCATCCGGGATAGTCATGCATCCATTCCCTTGCATCCACATGACCCAGATGTTATCAGATCACTGCATTGCTGTTGTGGTGGCGGTGGCGGGAACGGCGGTGGTGGGGGCGGCGGCGGGGGGTGGTGGCGGGCGCGAGGGTAGAGCTAGGGGCGGCAGCAGGGCGGCGGGGCGGGTGCTGGGCTGGTGCTGGGTGTGGTGGTGCTGGTGGTGGTGCTGGTGGTGGTGGTGGTGCTGCTGCTGCTGCTGCTGCTGGTGCTGGTGTTGCGGCTGGTACTGGTGGTGGCGGCGGCGCTGGTGGTGGGTGGTGGGTGGTGGGCGGTGTTGGTGGCGTGGGCGGCGGCGGCGGCGGCGGTGGTGGTGGTGGTCATGGCGTACAAGAAGAAATAGAAGTTCCCCCGTACCAACTACAAATTTCTGAAAGCTGTACTGGATATTGCGATGCAGGGAGGCGGGACAACGGGGATGGGAGGGGGGAGGTGAGGGGAGCAAAGGGGGAGGGGGGGGAATAATTTTGTACCTTGTATCTCAACGATCCGACAGCATTTCCCAATTTAATTGCCGCATGCCCAGCAGCAAGCTCTAAACTTTGCAGCCCATAAACGACGTTGAGGTTTCAATGGAAAGCAAATCCGAGTCACAAGCGGTGCTTTAGAGAGCGCACTCTAAGCTACAACCTTATTTCACTTATTTCCATTTCAGCTAATTAGATTCCAGGGCATGTCTCTACATCCGTTAGGATTCCAGAGCTTCTAAATCAGCAGCGATGGTTGCTTGCCAAAATTGACGGCTCTTTCCTGGTCGACCTCATTTGTTCAAGGAAGTCCAGTTGGAAAGGGGGGGGCTGCGGCTTGAAATAGCAGTAGTATAGGAGGAGGCGCCCCCTACCGACGATGTTCTGCAGCCTGCACATGTTGAACCCCTGCAAAAACCGGGGACATTTTCATTTTTGTGGAATGCTTATGGTGGGCTGCGTGCAGGTGGCGCGGAGTGACTGGGGCGAGATTTAGCGTCACATGTGCATGTTTCTGTTTTTGTTTGGGACCAAACCTCTTTTACTCAGCCTCTTTACCACCCCGGAAAGTTCAAGGGAACATATTTTGGTAGGGGAGCATTTACCAGAGCCAATCAACTCAACTCAAATGAGGTTCCAACTAAGTCGCCTAAGCTTGTGTTGCCGAATGCCGTGCCTGTAGAGAGCGCAGCTGCTGCAAAGCCAGTTATAGCTGTTACAAAAGCTTAGACCTTCACGAACCTTTATATGCGATGTTAAAGGTCTCCTGGGGGTTCGGGAGTTGAACAGTGCCAGCAGAAGGGAAGGCTTGCAGGGATTGGGCACCTGCGAGGGGATGTGGATGAGCCCACCCAAGCGACTGGAATTCCTGCAGATTCCCTGGGGCTTGTTCACCCTCAAGAAGAGAGAGATTGATAGATGCATGGATAGATAAGACATACAGTTCATGTGGGCGATCCATTATCTGTATCTGTATATCGCCAACTTTACAATTCCCTGGGCAACAGGAGATATCCGTTCATTTGTGCGGCTACGCATCACCCAGTTGGCATTGGTTCCAACAGCTCCTTGGCTGCTTAACAGGAACCATCTCTCAGTCTTGTGCATTGGTGTGCCCGAAGGTTGTAACAAATTATCACGCTTGAAAGTCATGAGCACCTCCACCTTAAGACTGGGGCTACGCACCCTTTTTCAGCGTATGCTACAAAGTATGGAGTATTGGAATGCCAGTGGCACGTCAGAGTAAAGAGCTTTGGCGCCGAATGATGAGGAGCTCAGACCCGATTCCTGCACTGCTACGTCCGTTGGAGGACCTTGTTCCCTCGAGCCTCGATGCAAGTCCCCAGGGGGGTTGAGACGATGTACAGGGTTTTTACCGCGAGCAGGGCTAAATACTCCAGCAGTGGTTTGTTCGGACATAGGTTGTGCATCATAAACGCTCACATTTGTGTACATGCCCGTCAACCCATGCAGAGGCTCCGGATGTGGACGGCTTGCATCTTGGCGCCCAAGCCACCCTTCCTGCAACAGCTGGTGGGTGCGCGCGGGGCCATACATCAGATCCCTGGCACCACATGTTTGGGCTACAACCTTGCAGCATTTGATTTGAGGCATACGGAGAAGCATCAACTTACTGAGCATTTCTGTCATGGACTGAGGGATTGAGGCGTGTATCGGCTTTGAGCACAGCCTGGTGACCAGCTCACCACAGCATCTCAGGATATTCTCCGACTCAGACTCAGAGGCAGAGGTGACGCGGCTGAATGCAGCAGTTCAGAGTGTCGCCTCTCATAACTCCTCTCATGCTTTGAAAGCTGGGGCTGCCTCACCAGAAGAGCTGCGGAAAAACGGAGCAAGTAACCTTAGGCAATGGTGCTGCGGAAGCCTGACGGTCGGAGAATACCAAAACCACACTTGAACGACGTATCTTTTCAGCGCGCAGTTTGGCTGCCTACTTTCTTGCAGGCCACAGACCCCGAGGGCGGCATGCAGCAGGCCAAGCAGATGCACTCATCGGACACAGAGGTCTCCGACTCGCACGTTCCACCCAACAGCCGCCAAGCCGGGCATCGAGAGCATCGAGAGATGAAGGCATAGGGCAGTTGTGGGGTTGTTGTGAGTGCACCGTAGGGACAACAATGCTAATGTAGCGTTGGGTTGTTTGTGACATTCTCGGCAGGCCTTCGGGCAGGGTCTCAACGTGCTGCAGAAGGAGGCTATATCCAAGATTCTGTCCTCTGAGCCTTGACCAGCAGCATTTGATGAGTTGGGTGTGTTTCTGGATTTGGCAGCATGGACGTCAGGGCTGAACTACCTTTGCCAAAACATGCATACTCGCCCCAGGGATCGGATGGTGCGGCATTTCCTAGGATAAATGTTGCTAGCTAGGCCTCTGGCAACCCTGATGCGCTTCTGCAAGTAAGAGTTGCGCTGCTGGAGCTCAAAGCAAGAATGATCATTGCTGGATTTGGGGCAAGGATGGTCTGCAGCGGCGCTGTCATTTGCTGCAAGGTCCGCCAGGTGGGGTGATGTGAAGAATTGAAAAAAAAGGCAGAAGATGGCAGGATAGTGCTGTGGATGAAGTGAAGAGTGAAAACTTCTCTTGTGCCCTGCTCGTGCCTGCTCGTGGTCAGGGACGGGGAAGACACGTGCCGTGGTCGCGCTGCTCCAGCAGCTCGGCTCAAGTCAGTCGAAAGAAGCTTCAACCCGCTGAAGAGAGTGAGAGGGAGACCTTGTACGCCGCTGGCAGCTGCTGGCAGCCGCTGGCATGTCGGCAGAGAGACAGGGAGGGAGAGTGCGTATATCATGTATGCCATTGGCTCGTCGGGAGAAAAGGGCTGAGCTGTATACTGACTTGGGACTTGATGAGGCCAAGAGCTCATTAGGTTAGACGTGCCCTTGAACCATTTACCCAGGCCCGAGAAGCACAGATGCTACTTTCGGGCGATTTGATTTTAGAACTTGGGCAAGCCACGACATCAGCAGCTCCACGTAAGGTCGCCCAAGCTTTTGGGAATACTGCCGCTTAAAGAAATCATACCGGACCCCTGCCGCTGCAGGAAGCGCTTTTCCTAGTCCTACTTTTGGAATTTGAGACGTTTGACTCCAGAACAGCAACCTGCACGGCTACTCTCCTGCCGCTTGCGTGGGTACCATGTGTTGTGCTTCCCCTTCCTTGGTAATGATATGAGGCTCTTTTCTGCTGGATGTGTTAGCCGTGGCCGTGCGTGAGCGCTTGTAGGAAATACAGAAGTTGCAGTGTGACAGTCATAGTCCCCCGAAACACAACCGACTTCACTGCCCTGAGCAACCAGAGCTGTACTTGGAAGATGCCCGCAAGCCAGACCTGGCCATGTTCTTCTATGGCTGCTGTTAATGACCGATCCCTCACATTTCGGAGACTTGTCCCATTCCTGCCCCTGGCATCGTACGCGACTTGTGCGAGCTTTTGGCAATGATGCCTGATCAGCCTCTGGCAGGGCCACTTTTCAAAGGCTAAGTGCCCAGACGGCCCAGTGGGCAGAGGAGCGCGTCATCATAGTCCATAGGGATGGTGAGATCTGGCAGAGGCTTGAGAATTTGTCAAGCGCTCTGAGTCCCACAGCAAGAAAATGCCAATGTTGTTCCATTACGACTCCAAGGAAAACTTGGAGTCTGCGCCCAAGTAGTCTAGAGCTGGCACGTGGTCCGCCCCATGGACGCGCCATGCCTGACCACTGAAAGGAAGAAGACGCGGGTTGAAGGCACCCAGGGTCAAGAACGAGAACCAGATCGCCGAGAAGCATCTGATTTTCTGCTCCTACTGCTTGTGGGCTAAACAGGAAGTCATCCTGATGATTGGCAGATGCCGAAGCACAAAGCCAGTCGTGAAGACAAGAATCGTAGTCTACCTGAGACAGCCGAAGCTAAGTGAACTCATGCAGACAGATGTTTTCAGAGTCAAGCGGAGAGCAAGGCTGAATCTTCCAAGCTTCAATGGACAAGGGCTTCGGTTACCTTCTCAACCAGACTCGCTACATAGGGCATTGAAGCTGCAGGCAGCTGGCGCAGAGGCACACCTTAGGGGCGGAAAGCGGCCGCATCCTTGTGAGAGCCAAGATTGCATCCAGTATTCAAAGTGCTGTGTGAGCTAAGATATTTGGAGTAGTTCTGCCCAGACTCATCGAAGCCCTTTTTGCTGTGTTTTGTTGTCAAGGTGCTCCCAGCAATGGTGCCGTGCAGGTTGCCTTGGAGAGCTTCAGCAAAACACAGGCCCTGACGACATGGTGCTACTGCAACACGGCCAAGCCCGGTAGTTAGTTCCAAACTCCTTGCTAGAGCTGCTAGAAAGCAAGATTGCAACCAGAAACGGGATTTCCCAGTTCAATTTTGTCTGCCCCGCTTGGCTCCGGTGCGAGGAGGGCAAGCGATGCCCACTTTGCCTTGTCGGCGTGGATGATCCTCAGCACGTCTTAAATGTTGAGAAGGTGACAAGTTTTGCATAGCCGGGCCGGAGAATCATCTAGGGGTTCAGCATCCTTTGTGCAGCAGTCCATCTTGTTGCTGCTCTTCAACTTGACTGGGTGAGCCAGGCAGGCTGTTAGGAAGCGAATGCTGTCTTTTGCGGAACTATGCACATCAAGAACATTCACGCAAAGGACCGTGTGCCACCAGCCGGGCCACTGCGAGCAGCCTTTATCCATACTAGCCCCTTGGAGTGCAAATACCCCTCCCCCCAGATACTTCACGCGTCCATCTGCCCAGCGTTGCCTTTTTTCCCTGGCTTGCCTTGGACTCGAAACCTTTCACCGGCAGAATCTTCCTAAGATTAGCTGAAGGAGTGCAGCATGCCAACACGCTGGTGAAGAAGAGCGCGGTAGATGCGTCAGCGCTGCCAGAAGCTGCAGAGGCAGCTCTTGAAACTGCTTCTGGAGTTTGATACATGGCAGGGCTAGTCCCAATGCATGGGTTGCATCGAACATTGCCGTGCAAGCGGCGTTCCTCATCAGATGACCATTGGGGTTGCATCAGCCTCCGAGCTGCTTGAGCAGTGCCTGGCGTGCCTGTACAAGGCACTGCGGACTCTCGAGCGCAGCGTGCCCACCGCCTTTCTGAGGCAAGAGGCTGAGGGGCATGCTTGCAGATAGAAACGCCTTCATTTCACATGATCGGATTTTATACTGGCTGGAATCTATATCGATTCTGCTTTGTGGGAGCAGCCGTGAAGCCAAGCTGCGGGGCCAGGCTGAAGCTGCCACGCAATGTGTCGACCAATTTCCTGCAAAAATGCTTGGATGAGAGTGGAAAGGACTGGGCCGGTGCTTTCAACATTGGGTGGAAAGGAATTTTATGTGAATTCTCAAGAGCTTCAGGGTGTGCTGTGTCCATCTTTGGCTGCCCAGCCTTCGCTGCAGGATGTTGATGGCAACGAAGACAACGAAGTTGACGCCAGTGGCGCTGAGTCATTGAGTTGTGTAGAATTTCCATTGATCAGGCGTGTTCTGCACGTTCTGTGTTCCGTGGTAAACTTGCGCACAGCTAAGCATAGCTTCATGGCAGCAATAGCCACAGAGCTGTATGGCTTCTGTACTTGGCTTGGTGTTAGCTTTGTCACTGGGATCCGGACAGATGTGTTGCTACTTCGAGGTCAAGTTTTCCGGCAGATCATGAGCTCTGCATGACTAACAAAGGTGTGGGTGATGCAGTGCATCAGACGAGCATTTCATTCTTTAAGATGTGGCGGTCCAGCTTCAGGTGAAACTGAGACCTCCTCAGATGCCGAGTCGGACTCATCCACGGAGCAACAGCACAACTCGGCAAGGCCACCGCAGAGTAGCGAGACAGTAGCGCCGTGCAGTGCCACATGAACAGAGTTGCTGGCCCCCAGATCTTGATACTGGAAGAAGGAGTTTGTACAAAAGGGCTTGCAACAGATTGGAGCCCTGGCAAGAGTGTAGGGCATCTGCCTGAATCCAGGCGCCCTCTATGTGGTGGTCCTGTGCAGCGCCTGGCCGAGCTGGCACGGCGCGAGCGCTTCGGGGAGGCACTGTTCACATGGAACTGCTTGTCGCAGTTTGGCCTACACTGCATTACAAATTACAAAGGCATTTGGTTCCCATACAAGTAGCTTGAGCTTGGCGTGGCCGGTGTCCAAAGACCAGCAGCGTGCCCGCACCCACGCACACACACTCACCCTTGTAGTTCAGTGTAGATAGGCTCCCGAATTCGAGACGCAACAGTTCCCCGGCTGATTCAGCGATGATAGCAGAGAGTCCATTCTCTAGGTACTTAGAGTCGAAAGGTGTTTTGTCAGCAGGTCAGTACAATTGAAGTCGCAGTTCCTTGGCCAAGGCTCAAAGCTGCTGCAGCCGTATTCTGCACCTTAAGCTGTGCGGGCAGGCCTGTCTGATTGTAGGACAGAAGGGCACTGTGGAGTTGATTCTTTGAATGCTAACAGAAAATAGGTTGGTGGGGAGATCCCCAGACTCCTGTGTCACGAGCTGTTGCAAAGCCTTTCAAGATCCAGCTTTCGTTCAAGCAATGAAGATCTGTTCACAGGCCTGGCTTGCAGATGTATTTGCGTGACGGCATTGAAACGGTCTTGGTCGACGAGGCTTTGGATGATAAGTGGCATTGGTGTCAAAATTGCAGAAGCGTAGAAACTGTATGCGCAACATGAGGAAGGCATAGGTATGGAGATGTGCTAGTTCCTCGGCTCCGATTCCAATCAGGCGGCGCAAGCGATCGAAGCAGAGACTTTGGTTACTTCGCCTTTTCCAGAGCAGTTGGGGACAAGTGAAGCCGGAACTGAAGCGTCAAGGCCAGTTTCAAGAGCTTGCATGGAGATGTCAGCAAATATGATTTAGGCTGCCACAAGCCGACATACACATAACCAGTGTTTCTGACACAGATTTGGGCAGTCATGGAGCATTTGATGTTGCACATGACTCATGACTGTGAGCACTCCTCAGGTTCCCCTTTGCTTGCAACCGAAGCAGCTGGTTCTGGTCGGAGCTTCTTGCTAGCGTTTTGTCACAGCGTGAGAGGCTAGGCGAGCCTCACGTCATGTCCAAGGCGGCCGTAAGAACTAGCAATCAAGTGCTAGTCGCGTAGACAGCCTCAGCAGACTCAGCTATGGTAAGGATCCCATGCAGTTGAGCGCAACTGTCTGCCACTCCGAGCTAGCAAGGAGCGCAACACGGGCTGCACATGGTTTAGAATACTTTGGCGGCATAAGGTTCCAGCACTACTTTTCACTTCGGGCTTCAGTGTAGCGCTTCCTTGTCGGAGATTGTAGCTGCAAGGTTCAGGTTTCAAACTTTGCGATTGCTTGTGTAGTGGGCTTCCGACTCAGGGGGCGGATAAGCACCTTGAGTGCCTCTGAGGCACATTTCTGCCGATCGATGATGGAGCGGCTGATGGGTCTTGGACAGGATGCTCCGCTTGGATTGGAAAGGAATGGGTCTGTTTTGGTGAGCACGTGCAACAGCCCGAGCACTCATTCTTTTGGCGCTAGCGAACTTGTATAAATCACATATTGCATGCTGGAGGCAACTCCTGTGCCCTGACCCTGGGAGTTTCTTCAGACCCCAGGAGTACATTATGCTCCAGGAGCAGTACCGAATGCATCCTGAGATCAGCCGGTTTCCATCTGCTCGTTTCTATGGTGGCCGGCTGGTCGACGTGCTTGCTGGCGTCTCTTGCCAGAGCCATGATCTTCCACCCTATGCAGTGGTGGATATCGCTTCAGGAGCAGAGGAGATTCGCAGAGAGAGTCACATCATCAATGCGCGGGAAGCAGAGGCTCTGGCTGGCTTTGCCAAGCAACTGGCCTACATGCACAAAAGAAACAGGCCTGCGGGCAGTCGTTGTCCGGCTTTGGTGGTCATAACCTTCTACAATGGCCAGGCCACACTGATCCGGCAGTTGCTTGGAGCAGAGGTTGGCGTTGAGGTGCACACAGTTGACAGTTTCCAGGGCTCTGAGGCTGAGGTGGTGCTGCTCTCTTTCGTTCGGGCGAACCCACAACGGCGCCTGGGTTTCCTCTCAGAGTTCAGGAGGCTCAATGTGGCCCTCACCCGGGCCAAGCGTTCGCTTGTCGTCTTCGCCAATGCATCGTTGCTGGCAGGGCAGTCCTCAGATGATGTTTCAGCGCTCTTTGAGGATGCTGGCCGCCGCAAACTGATCTGGAGGGAAGAGCAGTTGGACCAGTTGCTCTCCCTCGCTCGACTCGCATCCCGCGCTGGCCAGGCTGCCCACCCTCGAGAGGCGGCACAACTCAGACGGGGCAGAGCCAAGAGAAGTGCCGCCAGATGCGAGACCCCGAAGAGGGGACGCCTGAAAAGGCGGAGAACAGTCCAGGCACCAGCAGACTCTCCGAAGGAAACGCTGCTGAGGCCAGGCACCAACTCTTTGGGTCCTCCAAACTTCTCTAGATTCTAGACCTAGACCTCACCATGCCTCCGAATCATGGGCCAGGAGGCAACGGCTGACTAGACATGAGTAGACATCACGGCCACGATGCAAGCGGGGCTGAGTTCAAATTCAGTCTTTCAGCTACCGATGCTGTCTTGTCTTTCCTCTGGGTATTATCTCATGCATAGCAAGGGAGGCTGAAGTCCATATACCGCTCTGATAAGGGAATCAGGCAGTGATTGATCTCACGCTTGGATTGCACGATCTAGCACAAGTTTCAGCGTCGCTCTTTCAGCCAGGCTGTCAACCAACATCCACGCCAAAAGGACACGGCCTGAGCGTCGCGCGCGCAAAATATGCTCATATCATGCTGCATCCTTGTTGACTCCCATGCATGGCAGCGGGAACCATCATGGGACGCGACCAGTAGCCAACAGAAGAAATGGATGTGAAGCACAGTCAGGTACCAGCTGCAGCAGGCCAGCTTGCAAAGGGGATGTGGGGACTTTGAGCAGAAGAGATGAGCAGCGCTTCTTTGACCGGCTAGCCCCGGCCAGGCAACAAAGGCAGCGCTGAGGGGCCTGTGCTGGCAGCGCGTGGTAGGCAAACTCTATCGCTCCAGGAATTTGAAGCAGGAATGCAGACGATTGCAGAAGGTGAGCTAGCATATTCCCGTGGCCGGCAGCCCAACCCTGAGCCATCCTAACTAAGTCTTGTCTGCTGCCGTAGGCCTTGTGGCACTGGAATGCCTGCCGCAGCTGCTGCCGCGTCCGCATCTGCAAGCGCAGCAAAGGCAGCCCTTGCGGCGGCAGCAGAGGCCAGTCTGTCTGCTCGCGGCTCATAGCTCAGCATGGCTCATGAAAAACATTTCAGCAAGAGAGTAGTTGCAGAAAGCACGCAGGGTGTTCACGTAACGGGAGGCTGCTGTGGCTCGCTCGCGCTCACCCACGCCTCCGTGCGCAGCTAGGGAATTGGGCTGTCATACCCAAAGAACTCGGCCGTCGTACCTGAAGGAAATCCTTGAAGGAGTACGCTGAGATTATGTTACAGCATCAGCTTTTTGTGGCTGTAGGCAGCCGATCCCCCAGCCCTAGCCGTACATGTGATGCCAGCGCAGATGCTCAAAGTTCAAACTGGCCAAACATTAAGGCCAGGCATCCGAGCGGCTAGTGCGGCTGATGTTGAAGGTGCAGCAGCTGCCCAACCATAAGGTCGCCTCTAAAGTCTTGTTAAGTGCGCCCCGTTTGTCAGTGTGCATGTTGGCAGTGACGCAGCCTACATCATGAACGAATGCAGGCCAACTGGACAATTGTTGGCTCAAGCAATGGGGTTGTTGTGTTGCTGGCTTTGGCATGACCAAGTTTGCAGCTTTAAGTTGATATGATCATGGTTACTGCGGGCTCTTGAAATTCAAAGAGCGGCGCGTGACTCATCCACTGTTGTTCACAGCTCAACACACTGAAAGAACCCGTCTCTCCGCGCACCATGAACTTCGACACCCAGCGAGGGCTTACTGCGCCACTGAGTCAAATCGTCTTCGAGCAATACTCCAGTGATGGCCGTGCCTGGGTGGCCAAGAAAAGACAACAGCAAAAGGGTCTTCTTCCGATTGTATCTGAATGCTGGAGTAGGCATAGCGTCCTGCAGCACAGGTTAGTAGGGCAGGCACTTTTGGAGAAGGGCCTCTCCCGACTTGGGTCATCTCCAGTCTGATGTGTGCTGGGTGTATCGGGTATCCTCGTTTCAGGGTTTGGCAGCCGAGGAATGGGCTTCGAGCAGTTCAAGAGCATGTGTGCTGACAAGGACTGGTGTGAAGACATCGAGGACAGCCCAGGTTCGTGTTGGGCACTGCTCCTGCATGTAATCTGTCGAGTTGCAGAAGCTTCAAGGACGATGAGATGGCAGCAGCATTCGTTCGCATGTCTGGGGAGCATCACGCCTCAAGCAAATCTTGCCTTCATGCTAAATTGTTTAAGCGTTGACCCTGAAAAATCCCAAGGTCCAGTGGAATCGAGTATTCGGAATTTCTGGCATGGTGGAAGTTACAAGACGAGCGCCAGAAGGGCTTGAAGTTCAAGTCGACGGAGGTGCAGCACTGTTTTTTCTTCTGTCTGTGTTTGCCGCTTTCAAAGCTCGTAAAAGATCCAGGGAACCACAACGAAGATCAGCGTTTAGACGAGCTGCGAAGGAGAAGGACTTCGTCCAGCGTGTGAAGAAGTCGTTCTTCCAGGGCACGGGCGGCTGTGCCAGGCCAATCGGCGAGGATTGGAAGTAACAGGAACCGATTGTCCACAACAGTGGAGTGTAACAGGAACCGGCCCCAATTCCGTAAAAGGAACCGGCCGGTTTCCATAACAGGGCCGCTGGACCCTGCGTAACGGGAACCAGCCGGGCTTCAAGAAACCCACACATGTGTTATCATGTGTGCAGACGGGCTAAAACTTTCTTCTTTGGACTCTGCCAAGGGGTAACCGATTTTCGGTCCCGCCTCCTACCAACCTTAAGCCAAGCCACAGCCCCAGGTACAAATGTGGAAATTCTCAACTTCGTATTCTCATTCTGAAGAAGGGGAAGAGAGGTGAACTTGAGGGTTTAGGGTTTAAGGTTTAGGGTTTTCGGATCCACGTCTTTGGGTTAAGAAGTTATAATTACATAAAACGGGGACCAACATATTGTAGTCCCTACTTGGGCTGGGGTCTTGCAATTCTGCCTTACTTGGAAGGTCAAGCGGAGTTAGTACGTGTACTTATAACCCCTAGAAAGCATATAGCAACCTCTGTTACCTGTTATCCCTATAGCGAGTATGTCCCCTTCATCCAGAACCTGAAACCCTAAACCCTGACCCTTAGACTTAGACCCTAAACCCTGACTCTTGGAGGGTGAAGATCCAAAGCTCTGGCTTGGAGTTTAGGGTTTAGAGGTTTAGGGTGTAAGTTCAGGATTTGGAGGGGAAGGAGTGTAGAAGTAGTACTAGTGTCAGTACGAGCAGAAAAATGACTAGAATGAGGTGCAAGCAAGCCGCAAAAAGGAGTGTAGAAGTAGCACTAATGGTAGTAAAAGCAGAAAATTAGCAGAGCGAGGTACATGCAAGTTGCAAAGAAGTTGTCCTGGAGAGGGACCAGTTTTCGGTCCCCCACTTTGCGAGATTCGGGCTCCGGGATTTTGGTTCCGGTTTCGGTTTCGGCCTGGTTTCGGTTACGTTTTGGCTGCGGTTTCTGTTGCGGTCGCGGCTGGTTCCGTACGCGTCCGGAAAACTGGTTCCCGTTACGACCCAAAAAGGTTCCCGTTACACCCCACACCCGCCAATCGGCACTACACAATAAGCATACCGTAATGCCATGCGCTAGGCCAATGCGTGTCAAGAAAATCGTTGGTTTACTGGACGCTGCACTTGGACACAAAGGGGCTGGACAGAGACCATGCGCACGCTTTTGCGAAACGGGTGAGGATTGGCCATTGACACATTCTAGGTTGCGTGATCATCTTTGGAGTCCACAGCTGAAGAACGAGGGAACTGGAGTTACAACTCTCCCGCAAAAGTCAAGCCTGATTAGCAGGACTGCCTCTCATTATTGTGTTTCCCAAGGGAACTGAGACGTCTTCTGAAACATCTGCCTCCACCTGTTGCACCTTCAAAGTCAGGTTGCCAACCCCAGCTGCTTCACTTGCAACTGTCTGGTGCGCTTGGCGATCTAAGATCGAAAACGCCAAGAGAATTGGGCACGCTGAAGGAGTAGGAATCGGTCTCAACAAAAATTGAGGATCCAAGAGATAGTCGGATTCCAAGACACCTGGCCTGGAATTTCTGGAGCTTTGCCACTGAACAAGGATGGACATCCTCGACTTCCAGCAGAAGTGCTACATTAATGGGTATTGTTTGAGCGAGGAGGAATTGGAACAGGCGCCGGCAAGAGGGTCAGGCTTGCTCGAAAATCCAGCTACGCTTTCATGTGGAGCTGTATGTATTCACCTGCTATCATGTCATTGAGGGATTGATTGTCCAGGACTGGATCCTACACACAATGCAAATTCCAAACACCATGAACTCATTTGAAAGGCCTTTGCCGAATTGGACAAAGATGGCTCGGGCTACATCGATTTCCCGGAGTACTTGCGTTGGCGGCAGGAGGGTTGTAAGCAACACGCCGCGGTAGACGTTTCTGCATGTGAAGGGTTGTGTCTCCCTCCGGGCAATGCCACACAGCTCGGGACCAAAATCGCAGCACCTCCGCTGGCCTCGATCAGGAGGATGATCGGTTTGCGCACCTGCTGCATGATGCCAGCGACCAACACTCGCAGTACATCCACCAGGCATCTCCACCGGCTGCCCCACACCATGTTCAAAATAGCTTGGCATTTTCAGCCTAGAGCACAGCAGCAGTGATCAAGCTGGAGACGCCTGACACAAAAAGCATGCTAGCCCCCTGAAGGTTGGCGAGTTTTTCCGTGCGTATGATGACGCTTGGCGACAGTCAAGTTTAGTTCAAGTGCACAAGTGAGGCTCGTGCAGGTGTCTGGCGGTCGAGTAGGTCCAGTCGAATTTGACCGATAAGGGACACCCCTCATGAAGCTTGGCCACCAAGCTGAGGAGGAATTAACGGGGCAGCTCTCAATTGAGCAGTTCCGTCCTCTCTTCGACAGCCTCGTCGAACAGGGGGAGGTGACCGAAACCTTTGACAAAGTTCCCATGGCTCACTCAGCATCCAGATTTTGCATTCCTGCGTGGTTGACATATTGTTTGCGGTTATGTAACAGGGCGATAGAGCCAAAACAAGCTTGCAAGTGAGAGTAAGAGATGCGACAGCCAATTCACATGCCATCCTCGGCTGTCGCTCAGGTCATTCATGAGGTCGACTCAAATGGTGACGGATCCGTCTCGTTGAATGAATTCATCAAGTGGTACGCCACCACTTGGGAAGACCCCGTGGCAAGCGATGATGAAGACTGCGAGGCTGCATAGGTCAAAAGTCCGAAGTGCATTGTACATGCGTCCTGCCAAGTTGTCCTCTGAACCCATCCCGCCGCGCCACATTCTGTTGCAAAGCTGCTGTGCGTTGCCAAGTCCGATTCCAGACCCAGCTGTTGCAACGCAATGCCAGGTAGAGCTTTCGGCAAAGCAATTCGAATGGAAGAGGCTGCCCTTCCAGAAGCTCTCCAGCAACCTTCTTAGAGCCTGGTAGTGTGCACGCCCCACCATGTTCAATGCCGTGCCTATCCTGCAAGCATGTGGTAGGAGGTGACCTTTGCCGGTCCGGGGTTGAGCAGCTTCATCGAAAGCCAACGGGAGGCTGGGTGCTGGACTCGTCAGTTGCTTAGAACTTCGAAAGCAGTATGTTGGATTTGAGTAGCGGTCTTCGGTTTGTCTTGGCTGTTGGTGAGTTTTTGGTCTGGCACATGTTCAATTCCCATTTACCAACCCTGGCTGAGTTTCCACAGGTTCTGCATGAAGTCTCTGGACAGGGTTGTTGCCTGCCCTGGAGAGTGCAATGACCGAACCGTATTGTAGAGAAGAGCATTGGTCGAGCTGACCAAAGCGCAGGCCCTGAGCCGCCAACGTCAGATGCAGGCGCGACCATCCAATTGCTGAGTTGCAAGCACTTGTCGAGAGGTAGAAATTTGCAGTCGCCAGAACAGATTTGCTTGGGGGCCGAATCACAACTACTGCTATCTCGAAAGCAGACAACAGCCTGACGTCTCAGGCACCGGAGCTGCAAGCCTGGCCTAACGCACACGGCAGCCTCGAAAAGAGCCCCGTGGCTTCGCTGAGTTGGACTGCCATGTCTGACATCTTACATAACACTGCTCAGATTCTCAAGGTGGTGTAAGCTTCTGTCCTTTGTGACCATCTGCATTGCCTGTAGCGCAAAAAGGCAGCGCTTGGCTATGCCATCAGACTTCCTGAAGCCAAAGCCATGCCCAGTGCAAAGGATACCGGCGCAAACGGCCACTATACAGCCAAGCCTGTTTTGCCTCTGGTCCTTGTCTCAGCTGACTGCCAGGGCTCTGCTTACTGTTTTTTTAGCCCTGGAGGCAAAAGTATAATGCAGGAGTGGTGCCTTCCCCCCAGCTCCACACTCACGGTTTGCGCAGCGAATCCCTGAATGCACATGACCTCTGTGCATACCTTGGTTGTGGTGGGGATCATGGAAAGTGCAGCAAATTACAAAATGTTTGGAAAGCTCTGTAGAACTACGGTGGTCTACCCAAGATATTACGTACATTGACAGAAGAAGTGCTTTCTTTTGGCGGATATGATGCTCAAAGCAGCTTGCACGTGCTTGCCAGACATCCGCCTTCCGCTACTGCTCTTGCGAGGCAAGTGCTGCTGGATCGCCAGAGCTCTGGCATGCAGCACGGGCCACAGTGGCATGCAGAAGCTGAAGGTAGGTTTGTTATCACAGAAATCGTGCTGTGATGATCTCAAACATGGGGAAGCTGTGTTCCAACTCTTCATCGGTCGGCAAAAGCTCTCCAGCGTCCCTCCCGCTGCCCAACTCCCAAGCCGTCTGATGCTTGGACTCCATCAGACTTGGAGGCTGATGGCTGGATTCCTCCAAAACTCCTTCCAGCTGCCCAGTGCTGCTATGTCGATACACCGTCATCACTACAGCGGCTATTTTATATACTGCTGCCTCACAGACGGAGGACCGGAGACCCACAAGCTTCTTTCCTGCTGTACAGCAACCACGAACAACGAAGAGGCCTCAAGCAACAGATTTTGGAGATGGAGTGCATGACCTTGTAGACCTTCCATAAGAAGTCAGCGTAGAGAATAGCCAAGCTGCGAAGTAGCGATGCTGGTTTGCTTCGGACCTTGTGAGGCTACGTGCCAGGAGATGCTCTCACATTAGGACGCGTCAGCTGCCATCAAGCCAGCCCAGATCAGCCCAGGTTCACATTGGCAATGAAGCCACCGTGAATCGACTGATTCAGCAGGGCCAGTGCAATGGCGTGGACCTTGCGAAGCAAACTTGTAGGGTTTAGGTTGACTGGGTAGGGTGTGTGTGTGCATGATTTGCAGAACCTATAAAGCACGGTTCGGAACATGGATCATCTTTCCATTTTGCCAAACCCCAGGCAAGCAGAAAGATGCCTCTGGACACTCCGTCCTCTGGCATGCCATCGCTTTCGGCCACATAGGCACCAAGAGCAATGGGATTTCCTAAGCATAAACACACTGGGGATATTTGAATTGAAGCCCTGCAGCCGGTCAAATGCTGTCAGGAATCGCTCAGCTGATGCTGGACACGTACCCCGCTGGAGGGCAGGCGCGCACCAGGGGCCGCCATGTTCTGATGACCTCTGAATCCAGATCTCCGAATCCTAAACGCAGCCCCTGAACTGCTTTGGCCTTGATCTCTGGCTCGTCAATACAAGAATTCCAGGATTTTGCTGCAGCATGAAAGATGCTGCTCACAAGCTCGATGCTATAGGTTTTGTGCAGCCATCTTTCATTCATGCTGTCGCGCTCATCTCCTGATGGCAAGCCTAAGGAGCACACGCCCGCGGATGCTCTTAAAATGCGAAGAATGCTGCCAGCAGCGGAAAAATCTTATATGTCTCCCCGGCACTTGCTTTCCCTGAAGGATGTGCGACAGAAGCTTATGCTCGGACACGAAGCATACACAACCTCGCAAGCATCCGAAGGAGTTTGTGGGCTGCCTTGCTCACAGCCCATACAGTCTTAGAGGATGTCTAAGCTCGCATGGACAGCCGCAATCAAAATCCCAGCTTTGCAACAAGCTGCTGTAGACTGCTGTCCTTCGCGGGCTCATGCCGTCTCTGTAGCGTCATCCCTTCTTGGAGATGTGAAGCCCTCAGGCATATGGATTATTGTGCCAAATCTGAGTGTTTGGTGGCTGCCAGTAAGCATGACCAGTCCTCAAAAGGAACCACCACATGGGGCTTACCGCCACCGCCACGACAGCAGCATCACCCCTACTTGTTGTAGCACTAGCCACCACCGCCGCTACAATCATCACCAACAGCCCCAGCAAGCTTCCGGTACGCCACTTTGTGCTAAGCGCCTAGGTCAGATTGGCTCGCGGATGGGAGATGAGGAGCGAGAGTGCGAGAGCTTGATATCTTCAGTATTTATTCTAAGACAGCAGATGATGTCATCTTGTGGGAGGGCACTGGCCGCTGGAATGGAGGCTTCAACCTGGGCCCATTTATGAATCTGTCTGACCATTGAAATTTCTTGCTTGAAAAATTTTGAAAAGCTGCGCACAGGATGGAGCTGACGTTCCAAGTCTGGAGTCCCTTTTAAGGCCCAGGGGCCATGTTCTGCCGCTGCGTGTGGCATCTCGGATCATATCCTCAAAAGTTCAGCGTTGAAGGTTCTTGAGGGCAGAAAATGCAGTGACAGTTTGGCTTAAAAGACTTCTGGTTCTGGCGTTGTCAAATCGTGCCGCTGCTGATGATCATGAAGAAACGTGATGGTTAAGCACAGCAGACTCCCAACGAACTTCAGCGCAACAACACAGTGCAGCTGCTGATAGTAGCCCGCCTTACCAAACAAGCCACAAAACCAACCCATGAAATGGCTTCACCACGCTTCGATAATTGACGGACAAATGCAGATGGGTGTCACTTGTGGATGTAGGGAACTACAGTTCGATATCTCTAATGTTGCCTGCCCCGTGCACGAAGCTTGGTGCCAGAGCCACGTTGGGCGCTAAAATTCCATGTCCTGCCACATGATACAATGTCGGTGCGTGTGTGATTCAGGGTCAGACTTCTCTTCTAGCGCCCCAGGTCGGGAAGGACATCAATAAATCATTCGTGCAGATATCTTTCACCGCTTTGCAGATCCTGGGTCGTCAGGGAGCAGTGTGTAAACATCCGTAATCATCCTGTCTGAGGCCAATCTGGCTGAAAGCATATTGGCTCAAGATGCTACTTTGGTTCTGCGAGGAGTTACTGCCAAGTGAAGCATTTCTGTCAACCGGCACATGCCCTGGGATGGAGTTCATCCTGAGCGCAGGCTGGTGCAGGACAGTTGGTAGCTGTTCGGTTTGCAGCGTGGATGTGGCAGCCCCCAAGGACGTTAGACATCGGCCTTTTTGCAAGCTGTGCACAAAGCTTGTGCCATGCCAGGGGGCTTTGATGCGAAGCCTCCTAGGTCCTTGGTGCACTTCCGAACACCTGCGTCTTGTGTTAGACTTGCTTTGCTTTGGAGCGCAGAGCTTGGTGGATGGTCCGTTGTGATTGCAGGTTCCCCGCCATTTCCCGCTGTCCTAGTTCTAATTCTAGTTGGCGCGGTTTCGTGCAGTTCTGCAGATGCTACAATACAAGCGAGATGAAGCTAATGGCGAAGGAGTCAGAGCGGTCGCGGACTGGCAATTACGACACGGGCAGGCCAAGGAGACGAGGGGCAGTTGTAGATCCGCGGTGCAGAGGTTGGCCAGCACTGAGATGCGGGGCCATGGTTCAAGCTGTCCAGCGCTCGGAGCCGACAGCGTGGTCAAAACGGGGGCAGACGCTGCGTTTCCTTCCATACACAACCGTGGAAGGCCACGATGCACCGCGTAACCTTGCATTAAACTTGCATAGAATCTTGGTGTTCCGACGAGGAAGCCAGGGCGACAGCCAGCGTGTGGTCTATTGTACCAGAAAGCCAAGCATGCACTGCACTGCTCCTTAAGCTTGTATTCCGCCTTTAGTTCTCACGTAGGTGTAGAGGCTCAGTGTTTGGGAGTCTCAGGTCTGTGTGGCCTAGGGTAGAGCTTCAGGATTCAGAGATTGGAGAGTTTCGCGCGTATCTCTAGCGGGTCACCGCACAGCCCAGTGGTTTTGAAGGTCAGGATCAAGGCAGGTTCCGGAGAAAGTTCACAGTTCCCCCAACGCTAATGCGAGTGCTCCAACACATGTCTTCAACTATTCAACAGGACATTTTTCAACCAATGCAATGTTGCAGGCAGCTTGACCAACTTGACATCGTAGATGCCAAGGCAGCTGGCAAAGGCTGGAAAACACCAATGCAGAATTGGGATTGCAGGGTGTAGTGTAATCTCGCGAATTATTCGTCTCATGTTCGTCCTCGCAGGTGGGAGGGGACCTGCCTTGGTGGTTGAGTCCAGCCCAGCTTTGCGCAGGCATGAACTTTTCCGTCAAAATGTCGGTCTAGTTGATGTTGGAGGTTGTTTTTTGAAGACTTTGGCATTGCGCACCATGGGTCATAAGGAAATTCCTGTTGGGCAACAATATGTCTGGCTGCAGTGCCTTAGTGAGGCAGCCTGGGGAGATGCCAAGAGGCACATCTCGAGGCTACCCCAGCAGAGGCCAGGCAACCTGCAACTGCAAACCTTAAATGCAAAGCTTTCAGAGCAGACGCGGTGCAGCCAAAGCTGTGCCTGATCATGAAGTTTGCAGGAAATGCCTGCTGCATTTGTCTAGGCATTCTGGACCAGCCCAGGCTTGAATGTCAATGATCTCATGCTATAGCTGTTGAAGGATGCAAAAGCGATCGCAAGACTGGCGGCACGCTGCTTAGATCCGGTTTGCACAGAGCTGTGTTTTCAGCAGGAGTCTGGCATTTTCTACCCTCAGGCAACAGCATGATCCTATTCAGGAAGTAGCTTGCACACAGGTGCCTTTGCCGGCCTTTTTCGTGATGAGGCCGCCGGTGACTAGAATTGTGTGGAGCTCCTGCAACGCCTTCCCATCGCCAGCGCTCAAACCTAACCGCTTGAGCATCAGGCGCACGAGGAGTTCAAGGCGGACTAGCAGCTTCTGCTGCACCTGGTCCATGAATTCTGCCTGGCTGCTGACAGAGTTGTGTTTGTATGTGCTTGCGGTGGCGGTGGCTATCCTTTGTGAGACAAGCTGCTCATTAGCCGGAATCAATTCTGGAGCAGTCTGTAAATCCTTAGCTGCCACTGCTGCAGTTCCTATGATGAAACGGACTTTCGTGTTTTAAGGTCTTCAATTGTTAGTTAGGTTAAGAAACTTCTGACTCAGGCAGGTTCCAGGCTTCCAACACAGGTTCCAAAGCCCAATCAAGCTAAGCACCACAAGCCACAAGCCACAAGCAATCAGCCTTGCATTATTGTGTTACCAAAGTGTTTGTGGGTTCTTGGCTGCCTTCTAGAAGTCCATAGAACATAGAGCTAAATAGGAAACTTAATGTCATGCATGAGAGGTGGACCTGAAGCCTGGACCTTCAGCAGCAGAGACCGTGCCATGGCACAAGGCATCTCACTTACTTTTCGAGTCAGGGAGGACCACTCATGTTTGTGCAGTGCCCAGCGGTGGTCATTCGCTCTGAGAGCTTGTGCGTGTTGCGTTTAGCAAGATTCGCTAGTTGTTGCAGCGAGCTCGGCGAAAGAGAGTAGTCACCGTGACCGGATAAAGGAGCATGGAACATGGGAACATTGAGGATGAGCTACACAACAACGTACATGGGCATGCTGTTGATGAATTTCATGTCATTTGTCTTCCTGTGCCCCGGAAGGGTGATGCAAGCCGTGCCTTCTATGGACCACGCAAGCCGCCCATTCCAGTGGCTTCACAGGACTGGGGATCAGAGTTGCCGGTTTCATACATATACCAAGGCAAACGCTCCATTGAAGAAGGGTTCCCGCATGTAGAGGTTGCATTGAGAGCGGCCTGAGCAAAGCAGGCCTCACCGTTCGCAGCCTTCAAATCTTGGAGTCACGCCGGAACCGGAGGATAATGCGAAGGAGTTTGGCGCTTGGAGAGCAGAGGAGCCAATGCAGGCAGGACGATGCCTCTGTTTGCTTCTCCTTGCATTGCAAGAAGCCTTACCTTTTGACCAGAGAACACTGGTGAAAAAGGTTGGCCTTCTCTGCATGCACGAGGAAGGTAAGTTCAAGGGATCACGTGCCAGCAAGGTAATTGTGGGGTTTAAGCTTCCATGCTCATCACAGGTTCCATATGCTCTACATCACGGATTTCACGTTTTCTTGGGGTTGTGTGATGTGTGTCATATTGTCAGCAACAGATGTCCACAACAACGTACTGGAGGGTGCCATGGCTGCGGCAGAATCACAAGCGATTGCTCCATGTATTGGCGGAGGTACCCAAGCGCCAGCCTCTTCTTTCAGAGCCGCTGAAGGCTGACGCGTTTCGCTTGCAATGCGCGTTGTAGAATCTTGTCCACCAAGTAGTCTTCGGTCTTAGGCGCAGTTTGTTCATTTGCGCTCGCAGGCTGGCAGCCGCGTGAAACTACAAGGCGCCTGGCCGAGGGGTTTTCAAGCAGGTTTCCGAAGGTCTTTACTTTTCAAGCAGGCTGCAGTTCGGAGCACAAGGTCTGGGTATGTCTGGGTGCTGGGTAGTTTCCGAAGCTCCCTGCGCGCAAAGGCCTGGATGGATTCCTGGCAGACTTGAACGGCCAGCGATGCCTTGTTGAGGCCGGCCCGCGTGTGCAGTAATGTGGGAGAGATGTGACATGACATTTTGTCTCCTGCCCATGCTCAGCAAGGGTAAATGTTACCTTCACGCACAGTGCATGCAGCATGAGTGCCTGTGTAACGAGTCTCATTTGCAACATCATCGGTTTGGTTTGTTTGTTTGTTTGTTTGTTTGTTTGTTTGTTTGTTTGTTTGTTTGTTTGTTGCTTGTTGTTTGTGATCGTCCATGGCCGCGAAAGCTAGCCCCCCTGGGCCAGCACAGATCTGCTAATTGCAGCATTCGAGCATGCAGCAGCTTGCAAATAGGAGTGTTGCCTGGGCACATTCCTGGAGAGAGGTCACAGGGTTCCCCTTTCAGCCTTTCTGGAGTCCTGCACCTAGCTTGGTTCCTTGGGTGTACCGACTGCCTAGAAATCACGCAGGGTGCCCCTGTCAGCCATCCCTGCGTTGCAGTTACCAGCTGGCAGAAAGCCTAACTAGGCAGCCCAAACACAAACCGATTTCCTGAATTTGAGCCCTGTTTAGATGTACGTGCTGGAAATGGCTGGCCATGCAAGGGCTTCGACAAAGAGACGAGAATGTACTTCGTGCGACTGCCATCGAAGCACCTCGAGGATCGTTGCCTGGCCTTTCGTGAAACAAAGCAATTAGACATCATCATCTAAAAGACATCGCGGATTAATGACAGCGGTTATGACCCCTTGAGTCAGCTGAGCTCAGCCTTTAGCTCACCATTGCAACCGCCGCTTGAAAGCCAACAGTCACTTCCCATTGGCCGAATGCTTTGGCAGACCGTGGCCCCAGAGAATGTCGTGAAGTTGTGAGCTTCCAAGCTGATGAGCGCAAGCTGACGCAAGATCGCTATCCGCTGAGCGAGATGTTTGCGCTCTAGAGGTCTCAGGATTTGGGCTGGTGCTGCCACACAATCGGAAAGCTAATGCTACTCGTACCTCAAATCTAGAGCCAACGGCAGTTTGTCATGCCGTGTCAGATGAAAGCATGTTAAAACGGGTCCTATGGGCCAGCGCCGGAACATTTCACCTGCTGCATCCTCGAGCAGTTGAAAAAGACCATGCTTTGCTTCTTTGAGAGCGCCGTGAAACAACTGAAGCGTGCCGGTACATGCTGCTGCCAACGTGATTTAGCTGCTTTGTCTCACGCTGACGTGCATCGAGCCAGTTTATTGTAAAGGCAACCACCTTGATCTTGCAATAGCTTTAAGAAATATCTCTTGCCAGGGTGGCATTGACGCTTTGGAGGCTTGTGCGGACTATGAGCTTTGCGAAGAAGCCGTCTGTTCAATTAGCTTTCAGCACGAGGAACTGCCTGAAAGCCTTGATGGGGTTGCAAGCCAATGACTCGATGTCCCCAGCTAGACCTCTCAAACAACATAGGTTGAAAAGGCATGAAGCCTTCATTCTTGGGGAAGAGCTTCGAAGGTCCATCCTCGCAAAGGAGACACCCTGCTGCACCTTCTTTGTCAATGCAGGCTAGGCCAGCTGACTTAGCTGCGCAAGGGTGCGCTTGGCAGTGCATCTTGCTATGCATGCGTTGGACCAGCCTGCAACCTCGTCTTGCAGGCCGTTCACCAAGGAGACTGCTGGGCTCTTCAAGCGCGTGGCTGAAGCAGTCCCTGCAAGTCTTTTCACCAAGGCATCTGCTAGGAGAGCCTACAGGGCAGTATTTTAAGATGCGCTTCAGGGGTGTTTGCGAAGGGGACTATATGATACTACTGATGGTCTGATCATTAGAGCAGTGAATGTGTGTCATGCAGTCTTTTCTCTTGAGCTAAGCTTACCGGCATCCATCCAAGATGATGAAGCCTTTCCCTTTGAGCCGCACGGTCGCTCCAAAGCCAGCCTCCCTCTCCTGCAGTGCATCCTGCAATGTGTTCGTGTAGTCATGGGAAATGTGCTGTCAGTCGCAACATACTGAAAGCTCCCAAGCCTGCAAAACAGGCTGCATCTTCCAAAGCAACAGTTGCAACTCGAAGAGGCTAGCTCGGTAAGAAGGCAGCTTGGAGTCTTCGGAGGCAAACGCGAATGGGCAAAGCTTCCTGGCGTTGGCCACAGCGTCGCCGAACTTTTGGGTGCTTGCCCTGACATACCCAGGGTTGTAATGTGGCTCTAGCAGCCTAGCCTCAAGCAAGCCACTGGGGGCTTTGGCCTGAGTCGTAGACAGCGGTTCCCTGAGGCTGCAGGATGTGCCACGTGATTCTCTGTGTACCTTGCTCTAAGAGACGGGATGAAGTCAGCAAAAGCGCTGCTGCCGTAAGCGTCTCTGCACATGTCGCTTCTAGACTTGTTGTTTGCTCCTCCTTGGGCTAGAGGTGCTGAAGCACGTCGCGCTGAGATATCCAGAGCAGATGAAGGCGTGGTTCTCCTATTCATCTAGTGACGTCCCAAGCCTCTTGTCCACGCAGGTGTAGCTGGCACATGTATGCTTGCCTGACCACTTGGAGGCCTTGCTCTCTTCGAAGGAGGCGGGGGCATGAAGGTCATTGTCATGCACCTTAGGCCTTAAGGGTGAAGAGCCTAGAGAGAGCGAGAGATCGTGAGGATATTTTTGGCAGCTTGGACCCCGAGACTGCGCAGACATTCTAGAAACGTGCAGGTTTCGCACAACTTCGTTCCCTGCCAGGCTGACCAGGGCAAACCTCCTTTGCAGCAGCTGCTACAGAGCTTGCCACCTCCGCATCAGCCAGGCTTCGCTGCTTTGACTCCTGTTTGACCCTGCGGATGTGTCATGCAGCATGCAAGTTTGAGAATGGCACGTGGCTGCAGTTCCTTAGTCTAGCTCACACAATCTTGGTACAATAAGGCTTGAAGAAAAAGCTTTTCCGGAATTACCGGCAAGGTAGGTGAGTAGGCAGAGTGTTTGCCAAAGCTTGCGAGAGCGGTGCAGAACTTTCCGCAGCTTACACTTCGCTGTGGAGGTACGCAACGGGGTTGCTATCAATAACGAAGGGAGAAGGGCAGACTGTGCGGATCGCCATGCCTTGCCGTTTCGGAGCCCACAGCTTGGAGTTTCCAGTCCTGATAGCCTACCAAGCTTTGGATTGGAGGCTTTGCACGGCCCGCAAAGATTCCTGAGCACTTTGCAGTGGCTTCGATGTTGAGTGGCGGCCCCAGACGTTGGACAGGCAAGGCATGATTAGAGCTCCAAATGGGCACGGCAAATGTTGAGAACGGTCGAATCATGCCATGTCTTTTGAGACCACTCACCCATCCTCAAGGCAGAATGTCACTTGTCAGCACTACATGCTTGGGATCTCCAAGATGGCAACGTCAGAAGCCGTCACTCGCAAACTCCCCAGGTCCGGACTCCACAGGCCGCGTGCATCTGTTAGCTTGGAATATGAAAGGGTTTCAGACTTCATTCAGGCCTGCATGTGTCATTGCCGGGACGTGAACTCCAAGTTTGCAAGCTTTGCGATCCCTAGCAAATCCCCAGTTTAAGGGGCATGCGCTTTGCACGCCAACCCTGCTCCGAAGGCCGCGTGCCGTTTGCGGATTTGGCCTTTGATGTTACAACGGGTCCCGACTCACACAGCAGGCGCGAGGCAAAACAATCACGATTGGAATGTCAGCGTGATTTCAGACTTCAGACCTCGGCCATTTCTTGCTCGGTCAGGTTCCTGGCCCATCGCGTTGTCGTTGGCGCGCAGAGTCCTGTTCTTCTGAAGGTCCGCATGGCATGGCCACAAGAAGCTTCCTTGCGCGCATGCATGTCAACAATCCTGTCATGCTTGGTTGAGATACGTGATTTCAGGCGATTCTGCAGCTGTTACGCCTTGTGCCGAACCTATGCCCCAGGAATTGGAAACCCTGCCACTGGTGGAGTTGCCTCAGGCAGGGTGCTGTCAGCTGTCCTTTGGTTCGTGCGTACAGACTGTCTGGACACATACGGAATCCAGCACGCAGCATGTGCTTATCCTCTTCTCTGCAATTGGAGTGCTCTGGGCTCGCAGCCTTGGCTCTCCTTGCAGGAAGGCATCACGGCTGCCCTGTTCAAGGTCCTTGGCCCAAACTAGCTGAAGGCTTCTTTCAGTAAGCTTCACGGGACTGTGGGGAGACTCATTTGAAGGCTCATGTCCACTGCTGCAACTTGGTTGAGTTTGTGACCAGGGAGTTCTCTTTCCGGATAGAGTGCCTCCGCACATTTCACATCCAAGCCAACCCTTTGAAAAGAGTGTGTGCCGTCTCCTTAGGTCGACCGCCGTATCTCCAAGGAGGTGTGGAGGCGGCTCCTGCTTGCCAAAGATGACGAAGCTGACGACATCAAATGATGGACTGTTGAGCTGGAAAAACATAGGCCATCCGCACTATCTATTGACATTCAACGGATGTGCACGCTCTCATGGGCTCGGTGACGTGACCTGTCCTTATCTGTGTGTGTGTGGTTGCAACGTGCAGTTCAAGCTTAGATCAGAAGGGGCGCGCAAGCTTCTGTGGTGCATAGGGCCAACAATCTAGGGGGCAAAATGCCGGGCCATACCCCCAAAAGCAGATTGCCTAAACCCTCAGCTGCTGGGCAGAAGCGTTCTCCAATTCTTCTACACGGGCGTGGTGCACCAGCCTCGGAAAGGGTTGCGTTGCCTCGCACAGGTCAAAACAGCCAAAACTCTCAAGGAGTCTGTTGTGAAGTTTTGTTGTGTGCAAAGATAGGCCCAGCATTGGCATGCGTAAGACTTGTCAACTCAAATCATGAAGGCTCATGAAGGGATTCAAGGGGTACCTCATGCTTGCCAAGGAACTGCCCCTTTGCCAAAGATCCTGTCAAGCTGGCTCGGCAGCCAGATGGTTTTGCCGCAGGATTCAGCATGAACGTTTTTTTTTTGTGAAGACTTATGTAGTGCCTTGGCCTATTTGCAAGCCGCACTACTTGGCAACAGTGACAGAAAGTAGTTGTTGCATGTCGTTGCCACCTTGGAGGTGGAGCTGTTTCGCGCGGCTGCGATCTACAAGTTACCCAGGGCGCTCTTGGACTTGGCACAAACTGCATGGGCCCTTGTTCAAGCAGCTTGCCGCTTCAGTGGTACCGCTATAGCCGCTTGCGCTTAGGCGCTTTTCCCCTTGCTGCCGTCCAGCCCGCCTGGCCTGGCTTTGGACACTTGGAGTAATTTTCGTGAGGCTGACTGACTGACTTAGGCAACTGCCCTCATTTGCAGGTTACATTTTGTGGTAGCATGTCGGAGGGCCTGTCAATCTAATGCAATGTGCATGCTTGTACACCAGTTGCCGAGCCTTTTAAGGCTGAAGCCTATCCCACCGAAGCCATTCAGTCATCCATCCCAGATACCTCCCTGAAGCCGAGGAAGTCTTTTCCATCAGTGCTGGCGCAAGTGGCGAAGGCCGGAGAGAGATCTGCTTGCGAGTCCTTTTCCCTATCTTGCCGTAGCTGGGGGCTGGGAGCGCCAATCGCGGCTGCACTGCAACTATGTAGACTTGAGGCTTGGACGTCTCATCTCTACGGGAAGCCTCCACATATGTGCTCCTGAGTCTTGGTTGAAAGTTTCTTCAGCTTGTATTTGTTTGTGCACATCTTTGCTGAGCAGAGAAGAGCCCACCAGCTCCAAACTTGCTGAGCTCCCAAAGCATGTCTAACATTGGGCTGCTCAGAGAACTGTTGAAGGCATGTGCAAGACAATGGTTCAGAACTTCAATCAGCAACCAGGAAGAGGTCCAACACGATCATGGGAGAGTTAAAGTGAGGCTTTAAGGTGAAGACCGCCTGCAATGGTTTTGCGGACTTTTTTGCGGACGTGCTGCAATATTTTTGGCCACTAAACTCCGTTGCTCAGAGAAACAAAAGCTACTAGTACCCGATCCGACTTTCGCTATCTGAAATTGTTTGGTGGAAGCCTTTTGTAGAGAGCGCACGACGCAGAAATTGATGCGGCCTGCTGCTCCCTCCCTCCCAGCCCGCTGATGGGTCTGCTTTTGCATGCCGAGGGGCAGTGCGCCGCAAGCGTTTGCAGACCTGTCGCCAGAAACTCTGCGGGGGGCACAGTGGCCATTCCTGCGTCACTACATTTTTCCGCATTGCATTTCGATTCTTCAGAAAACGTAAGTGCTAAGCATCGAATCTAAACGGATTGCTTTTGTTGAAGGTCTGGCGTTCTGGCCGACTACTCAGTGCTTTGATCTGCACACTGCAAAGTTAAGTTCTGTCACCTACTGCGCTGCCTCACGCTGCATAGCACACATGCAGTGACATTTGTGCCTTTTTTAGCGGCTGGACTGCAGGAACGCCTTCTAGCCACGACTGAGCAAGCGATTTTTGCTGCACAGCAGCCTAGCTCATGAACGGCCTTCACAGGGCTGCCAGCCATTAAAAGTATTTACAAGTGTTTTGCAGATGGTGGCCCAGTGCCTCCCGGCTCATCAGTTTTGAGCTTGCTGCCCCTCTGAACAAGGCCCTGCAAAGATCACAGCAGCCTTGAATTTGTGACAGTGATTAGCATGCAATAGGCTGATGAAACCTCCGCGGGAATTGTAATGCCTTTGGTTGTGGCGGACAAGCTATGGCACTTATTCTTAGTCTGCTGAGTTCGCTAACAAATGGTTCCATCAGATAAGATTTATTGTTGGGACTTGCAGTCCCACCGATTATTGCTTCAATCGAAAAAGCCAGGCTGCCAGTTGGACCTGCGACGCTTTCATGTGAATAGGTCCTTGTCTCCCCCAATCCCAACAGCGCTGTTACTACCAAGGTCAACGGTAAGCAAGTTGTGCCCACACGTTTGTGCTCCTCGGAGCGAAGCTACGCCGCAGTCTTCATGCTCAGAACATCTCAGAACCTCAATAGGCAAATCAGCTAATTGTGCAGTTATGCCTTTTGGCCCAACTTCTGGCAGCCCATCTCGTGTTGGCTTCCCGTAGCCCTAAGCATGGGGTCTCACCTGCCTTCCATGGCCCCGCAGATTGGCAGTTCCCTGATCGGGCAGCCTACACCCCCCAGCACGCAACTTCATCGCATCTCCAAAAACCCGCGCTCACGCTGACATTCCACCGGCCCCTGCTGCAGCTCCCAGGACTGCGACGTCTTCCAGCTTTAGTAAAGCAGCTCTTGTGAAAGCTTACAGTCTAGAAGTGTTGGGTCATGTGATCCTTGTGCCGCTTATCAAGTGATTGAGCGTTTCTGCATCAAAGTCTGGCTCACCGAAACTTCCCCTCACATGAAGGAGTTAGCCATGCCGGCACGCCCTCCTATCTCGATGGGCATGTGCGCAATGCAGCGCGAGATGGATGATTGATGTTAGACACTAACTTATGACATGTTGTTGCCGCATAACTAGCCTCATATTTCCTGTCAAGCTGGCAAGCAGTGCGTTCAAGACTACCATGGTGGAAACGCATGCATTCCTTGTTACCGTGCCTGCCTTTGCGAGGTACGACCCAGAAAACCACCGGGACGCGTCCAAGCTTGCACTCATCAAAAAGGAGAGCAAGGCGCACAATTACACGGAATGCAGGGAACAGTTTTCCGGTCGACTCCACTGCCCGGATGCAGGCGGAAGAAGAGATGAGCAAAACCATCCGCGAGATTGAGCTCAAGATACAAGCCACTGGCGAGGCTCGCGCCCAGAACCCATCTGAAACTGGCATTCCCTGCAAGCTGCACAGAAGTTAGAGCGGGGAACAAAAGCATCCGAAAAAGGGCTCGTGTTCGTCCATGCCTGGCTCTGTTCGGGAGCTCACATAACCCTCGCGCAGACGCCTGTCCCCCACCTGCTGCGCAGTCCATTCGGATGCCAGCGATGGTCTGCACGACTGCGCAGCTCTCAGGAACATGTGCACTGTGATCACGTCTTTTGTGCTGGAGGGTAGTCAGGTGCAGCAACAAGGGCGTCCCCAAGATGTATAGATACATGAAAAGACCAGAGTGTGATGTCACAACCTTGGCTCCTAACCATCAGTATATCACTACACGCCTGAGACTACCCTTCTGTAAATTTGCGGCAGATGGAGTGCTTGCTGTCAGGGCATTGCCAGGATGCGAGCAATGCCTTGCTGTACTAGCGCCTTGTGCTTGTCTATACCTTTAGCGCAAGTCCCCTGGCCGTAGATGTGCCTTGATACCTCAAAGCACTTATGTTTTCATTCTACTTGACGCACATGCCTCCAGCGGTTCTGCTACTTCGAAATCACAGGAAACCATGCCTGAAAAGAAGGCCAACCACAGCAACCAACCCACGCTCCATACCAATTTCGTGGTGCAAGACGTGCTCTGCAGATGAGCCCCTTATCAGCTTGCGGCTTGCAGTCAGAGCGCGAAGCCAGATCTTTTGAATGCCGGCTCAACTCCCAACAGGTCTGGGACATCAAGTTGGTACTGGCTGAGCGCCTCGGCATTGATCCAGGCGAGGAGAATGACGACTTGGGGATTTCCTTTGCGGCGTAGCCCTTGCTGAATGGGAGCCAGCTAGCGCAAAGACCAAGCCTGATTCACCGATTATGTGGCGCAAGCTCTCAGCAGGTCAGCTCACGTTCGTGGCCAAACAAGGCACGGCGAATTGTTATTTCCGTGAAAAAGTTGAAGTGCCAAATCGGCTGTAGGATGTAGGTCTGGGATCTAGATCTATACAGGCAAGACCGCATCTACCTAAAGATCTCTGTGAATCATCATGGCAACCACAGTTGAACAACATGACCTTGCAGGCCCCTTCTGGAGGGAAAACAAAGACTGCGAGGAGATCTATAGTAAGGCCTGACTGGCACCCATTCATGTGTCAGACGAGAGCTGCGAATGGGGTTGTGGCGGAACATGTCGACATTCGGAACAGGCTTCACATACTAGCATGCAGAGCGGTGCTAATGCATGCCGCTGCGCCTCCTTTGAGTTGCAGCATGGATGTTGCCACGTGAGGTCCTGGTGAAGGGCGTGAAGTCCTTTGAGCGTCCAAGTCCCAGCCGTCTTGGCACTGGTCTTGTGCATACACTAAACTTGATGCCAAGGTGAAAGGGCAAAGCACGACCATCCCTTTGCAGCCTGGGCATTTCAACCATTTTCAGTCTACTGCTGTGCTGTTATAAAAGCAGACGAGCTGCCTGGCACTGTCTGCTTCTTTATGTTGGAATGAGTGGAAAGACAGCAAACTGACGAAGAGGCGTGACGTCAGAAATCTGCAGCACGATGAGAGAGAGTTGCCGAAAGGAGCCGTAATGCAAGCCAGGTTATCATTGGCGCTGGTCATATTGGCCTGCGCCAGGCATGACGAGCGAGACTGATGACCGTTTGACTGTATTCCGGGGATTCGCAAGTTGGTCAAGTTCGCAGGGGTATGGCCGAGTGTGGCCTGCAAGCTTAGCTTGTCGGACTGATGCCGTGGCATAGCGACAGCCCCATGGTTTTCTCAAAACCCCACTCTCTGCGCTGAGGGTTCAGATCTTTTGCAGCCCTGAGGCACAGGACACCCAAAGATAGCGCTGCATGATTCCGTATCATTGGAATGAAAACCTTGCATTCCTGTCAGGCCATGGTGTTCTTGAAGTATGGCGAGTGCCCTCGTCAGCACGTGGCAAATTTATTTGGTCCTAATGGGATGCCGCATTTGACTTTGGGTGATGCCTGGCTAGTTGTCTAGTTGTCAGACCTCTGTGGGTGTTCGTCGTGGCTCATGCTGCAGCCTGGTGCAGTCTGCCTGGTTGCATGAGGAACAATTTCGTGGTCTTCGACCGTAAGCCAAAGGCACGCTGTTGCCTATCATGGAAACTGCTACTTGCTGCACCATTTTTGATCATTCCGTGAGAGAGGTTGGTGGCATGGCATGGTGGGATCAGGCTAATGTCACGCTGCACCCTGAGCGTTTTGAAGGTCTTGCAGTCAGAAAATTGTGGCTGATTTTCCGGCATGTGTCCGGAGTTAGCTTTTGCAGGCGCACCATGACCATCTTATTGTCGTACTCAACATTGCTCATTCCGCTCCCTGCCAAGGTCAAAGCTTCAGACGGAAGTGGGTGTTTATCACTTGGGCTTTGTCGTGCGCTCAAGTCAGCATTGCCAACCTGGGAGATAACTGTCGTAGATGCAGATGCCCATCCTCAACGGCTGACTAAGCTTCTCTCGGAAGTCTTCTGTTACTGAAGTCTTCTCGTGTTTTGCATTATCTTAAGTGGATTTTTTGGCCTTCCCAGTCATCAGCTGCAAACTTTTTGGTGCAATCGTTGGGGTCTTTCTGAGCGAGATTAGGAACCAAACTGTCTACTACTACCTGAAAAGAGTGGAGCCACGCCTCCTCCCGAAAAAAAATGGACCCTCAAAACCCAAAACAAATTGGGGGGCCCGGAGATTCTTTCCTTCCTATCAAAGAATCAATAAAGGAAGGGGGATCCTTCGGCTTCTATCACAATAAAGACGGAGACTAACAAGGCAAGGAAGGGGAAGGGAGTAGCTCAGTTTAGTTTCGTAGCGGGGTCCTCGGTACCAGATATCGGATATCGATTTCTGTATATTTTGAAGGCCTGGCCTTTGAAACGAATTTTGGCGTCATTGTTCATCGAAAGAGGGGTACACGTTCGTAACAGGGGGTGGGGGGGGAGCCCGCGACAACACGGGGTTTTGATTCACAGCCTGCTGAAATGACCGGCTGAATCAGACATCTATGGTCTCTCGTGGCACCAGATTCCGGATTCCAAAGTCTCACGATCTTGAATTGAGCCTGGCCTTTTCTGGCCTCACAATGAACCTTACCAAGAATTGTTTTGAGCACAAACAAGTTACTTCTTTGCCCCTCCCCTCAAAAAGGATATTGGGGTACTGGAGAAGTGGGTCCCCCGCACTGATCGGGACTCGGCATTGACAGAGGCACTGTGGTAAGCTAATCTCCGCAAGTAGGGACGACTCCGGCGAGCCCTACAGGCGCTTTGACAGCACCTGTGCCGGCCTATGACGGGACAAAATCCCCAGGCTCACACCAAAGCGGAGTAAATCCGACCAGCTATGCGCTAAGACAGCAACCTTCGACTCATAACTGTCCGGGTTGTAGGAGTAGTAGGCAGGTCCGATCATTCTGTTCTCTCAGGGTTACTGGCCCGACAGGGTGCAGCTTTAGTCGTCGGGCCAGTGTTTAGAACAACCCAGGTAACATCCGCCCGTTGCATTCCTCCAAGTTGTGTTTGGTAAGGATGAGACTCTTCCATGCCCGAAGAACGACTACCCATGGCCATCCCGAGATGTCGACCACTGAGAATGGAGCCGCATCACTTGGGCATGTAGAAGCTTCCAATGATGCTGAAGAAATGACGATCAATGTGCCATTTGGGAAATATGCGTCGGCAGGTAGGGCATTCTGCTAGCTGCTGGGTTCACATTCCAACCAAAAACAGCAGGCGGTGGCGGCATAGCAAGCAGAACGCTTCTTTGGTCATTGTAAATCCTGATCAAGCTAGCCTAGCCCAAGGAACTGCTGGCAATGTTCCAGACAGGAGCGGAAGAGTGCCTCACCTTCAGTGATGTTCCGAAGGTTCAGCCGTAGGCTGTTTTTTTGGGGGGGTCCTCCGATCTGGTACGCGATCTGGGACAAGGCTCAACATTGCTGCAGGTGGATTGTGACATTGTGACTGACACTGCGTAATGCTCACTCTTTACCGATGAGGATTTTGCAATGAGAAGGTCTGCTGGCAGCCTGGGACTCCTGCAGAACGAGCTAGGGAGCACTTAGTTGTGCTGCACTTTCTTCGATCCCTCGGGGCATGGTATTTTACAGTCCTAGCCCTCGTCTGCAAGTGAAACCTGCCCCTTGGGAGAAAGTGTGTGGCCTGCTGAACCATGCGAACTCTTACGTATTGCAGACACGGCGAGGTATGGGATCCTCCCGTACTGCCGCCTGGCCACTGAAGTCCAGGTGCTGCATTAGCTGCATTTAAGCAGTGCCTGGAATTTAGGCAAGATCAGAATGAGAGATTTGGCGAGTCTTCACAACTGACATGATGTCGATCCGGGCCTTTCTGTTCTGCCATCACCCTGCAGGAGATCAAGGCTGAAGGGCAGAAGCTGGACACAACCTACGACCCAGCCTCAGCATCCACAAGCCAGACCACAAGTTCTGCATCCGATAGGCAGAGTTTCACGGAATGGTAGAGTAGTAGTAGATAGTAGTAGGTCAGATGCGACAGGCGAAGAGCTGAGGGCAGATCAGGAACGGACTCGGGCGCCAGCGACGGACAGATCAGCCATGTGGCAGCTATGGATTGACCGAGTTGTGCACATGAGAGAACCGCAAGAACAGCAAGAACAGAACAACAAACATAACAGACAGACAACAGAAGCAGCTTAGCTTATCACCCATTCCTTCAACCATGCCTATCAATCTGCCTGCAACTGTTGTGGAGCTTAGTGCTCAGGATTCAAGGTTGGATTTTTGATGGTTCGTGTTTGGTTTCGTCTTCAGTTTAGGAGTTTGTAGGATGAGCGTCTGGAGCCAGTCGGTCACGGATCAAGGTTGTCAAGCTTTGGTCTAGGGATTCTAAGGCTTGGCTTGGCGGCGTTTAGCCACGAAGTGCTTCGGACACGAGATGACACGAGCCTCCTATTGATCGTGTTCTTCGACTTGTTCCGCCAAGAAGCTGCTTCAAGTTTTTTTTTTTGTGGGGGGGGAGCGGTGGTGCTACATCCGTGGAGCCAGAGCCGCAAAGCCTCTCAGGAAGTCACCATCCAACACGTTGAAAAGAAGGACAAGGCTTACCGTCTTACCGTATCAGCATGCCTCATCGTGAGACCGCAAAGATGTCATAGGCACGGCAGCCAGCCCCACAGGCAGTTATTTAAGTAACGGTCATCTGGAAGCTTGAGTCAAGTGTGGACATGACATGCGCCGAACCTTTCCATGTAGTTTTAGCCTGTTTTAGCATGGCGTTCCTCAGCCCGAGCTCTTGCAAAAATCTACGTCACCACCTTCTGACCAATCTCAGCGCGCTCGCGATAAGAACGTAAAGATTGATGACATCTGATACATGCAAGCTTTAGCTGCAAGGGCTCTACTTTTCTCAGCAACTTTGCGGGCACGCTTGGCAGGCGGAAAAAATGGCATGTGCCGGGATCTTGATGTATCCCGGAAACCTATCGCTTCCGCGCACGGCACCTAGAGCAGCCCTGCATACTATCATTTGGACAGAAGCCTTCAGGCTGGCAGATGCAAATGCCACTGAAGCCAACCTCGGTCCCAGAGTCCATGCAAATTGAGTCAGTTGTTTCGTCAGGTAGAGAAGAGTACAAGGGGGAGGCAGGGAATGGCGTGAGTCCGTGTTCAGGGCTGATACGAATTCCCACTGGCCCCAGGCGATGAGCATGTAAGTAAGTCTGCGTTTTTATTCTGTTGTGATGGAGCCATGGTCCTGACACAGTGACATCAGCATAGCTTGGTATGCACCTCCAGATGAGCAGATGCAGGACGAGTTTGGTGGGACCATCGCTTACGGAATGTTTGACGAGTTCGGCTACGCAGAGGCGAGACTCTTAACATGGCAAGGAAAGCTGTGAGGGCATGGTTGACCGGTGACCAGAACGAATGCTCACCAACAAGTCGCGAGGCCACTGGAAAGGACATCGCAATTGTAGGCCATGGCGCCTTCGCCGTGGAAAATGCCTGCAGCTGAGGAGCACAAAACATGCATGTGGATCGCTTAAATTTGCAATGCCTATACTGGAAACCCTAAGCCCATGTAACAAACCACTGGAAACTTGATTGGAGTCGGAAGAAGTCTTGGAACTAGTGGAAACGCACTTCGGCGAAGAAAGTCTTGAGGAAGGTCGAAGGAACAGTCTGGAGAAGTAGCCTTAAAATCAGCATGGAATCACTCTTCCGAGCGACTTGAATCACTCCCAGTTGCATTGTCCGCGGAGTTTGATTCCGAGTCGCTATGGGGTCGACTTGAAATCTACTGAAATGAATCTTTTGACAATTTGATCGGCAATGTTTGAGACTGTTACTCGACTGGTAGGCGATTGCAGAGATTTCTGGGATTGGGCGTAGAAGTTCTACAGACTTGTCACAAGGAACTCGTCAAGACACATCTTGCATTTCATTTCCAAGTGAAAATCCTCAGTTTGTGCCCCTACAAAAGAAAGCTGCCAGGTCCGAAGTTGCTGCGAGTATAGCTGCAAGAAGATCTACTTGGCCCGGGCCTGGGGTTCTGGCTAGGACTCCATTGAACCAAAGAGTGTGAACCTGTTACATGACTGATCGCTTCACTCCAACAGAAAACTTCACCCTAGCCGCCATACAATGAAACTCCCTCGGTTGAACTTAGTTGTTCAGGTTTGCACTACAGAGAGTTCCTATCTGCAAGATTATGGGAGTAACAGACCACGTATAAGTAAAAGCAAGTTGCAATCATGTTCCGGTGTCCTGACCCCTTTAACAAGGTTTTGGTAAGGAAGAGCCACCACCTACTTATATTTTCTTTCGAACAAGAAAACTCGTTCCTCAAGCGAAACACCCTTCACCCCAGAAGTCCAGAAGTGTTCAGAGGTTTCTTGTTGCCATGCGGGTTGATGGAATGGAATAAACTCATCATGATGGTTCTTGGCCAGACTGCATACACTGCTTTGCCTGGATTGCAGCCGAATTCGGCGTTCAAGTCATTTCTCTTCGACGCCGGCGTTGAAAGGAGATCTCAACCTACTTCAACCTCACTACCAGTCCTGGCAAACAAAGGGAACGTCTCTACATTCACGCCTCTACATTCACGTCTCATCTTGAAGACATTGTGCCTGCTGCAGCTGTCCTAGCTAGCTTCAGGTTTGCCGACGCAAGAATATTGCGTGCCCACGCTACGTCTCCTGGCTTGCGAATCAGTGCGATTCTGAGCTCAAAACTGGATGAGCAGCTCAACACTATGAAGCCTGCAGCCCAACATTCTGCCAGCTGACAACTCGTTCACTGCGTGAAGGGAAGCTGTATTGATGTGAGCTGGCAACATGTCAGCAGGTACTTGCAATGAGTCAACAGCTGTGCGAGATGATATTCAACCAAGGCCCAGCCATCCAAACTCCCCTATCTCTATCTATCTCTACAATTAGCATGATCTCCGCAGTCCTTCGAGCAGCAAACCGCAAGGTCGCAATCGCCGCTGTCCGCAAGCCTCTTCTTGCACTCCATGAAGCCCATGTGCGGCGCTCAGCCAACCACCCCTCGGCAGGATCCAGTAGTACTCGCAAGGCCTGGGTTTCGTTTCACAAGAGCTTAAAGCTTGTGACACATCCAGTTGCCGCAAGAAGATCAGCACATGCCCATTCCCCGAAACGCATATTTTGAGCACAACGCAGCAAGGAAGCGCCCTGACAATGTGAATGTTAGCAACTGAGGTATGACCTCATGGGCTGGGACGTGTGGAGCTACTACGGGGTCCAAGGTTTGGCATTCTTGGTGGGTCTCGTAGTGTGTAAGAGCAGTGTCACCTAATTTGGCCGTGCTGCTGGGCTCTGCAGATTGCTGACATTCGCATCATGTGGATGCGAGGGATGCGTCGGTGATGCGACTGCACAGGAAGCGCAACCAAGTCCAACTGCTACATTCAGCAGAAGGCGATGCGTCGTGACTTCAAGAGATTCAACAGCTACATGATGGCTACATGTCAAACAGAAGTGGCCAGGTCGTGTTTCTGTGCCTTTGGCCTTTGCGTGTCTCAGTCATGAGAAAGTTCATCGCTAGGTTCAACACCAGCAAAAACTGGCAGAAAAAAGCAAAAAAAACGCATAACGGTTTTGGCGGAGGGTTGTTGTGGTGGTGGAGCTACTGCCGAGGATGGGGTCCTTAGATCTAAACGCTGCAGGCCTCCTCATCAAAGTCTTGTTTCTAGAGCGATTCAAGCCATCGCTTCTGCAGGCTCGCTTCGGCATTGGCGATGTCTACTTTTGCGCACTTTCTTGGGGGAAGCTCGAGGTGATCGAGGCTTCGGGCTTGAAATGGCAGCGGCGCAGTGTTTTAGAACAAGTTTTGGTTTGTTCTTTTGTCGAGACACGCCTCAGACTGTGGCGCGTAGAGTGAAGACAATGTCCTAACATGTCCTAACTACATCACCGCTCCAGCTTGTTGCCAGTCGCGCAGATGGATTCGTTCTATGTGCACGATTGTGAACGCGTTACAGACCTTTGTGCACCCAGACTTCGAACATCTTGTAGCCATGACAATGTTGAAGATCGATTCCTTGCCTCATCCCAGTCTCGCGCAGAGGACCCCCTCGGGATCAAGCGATTAAGCCACCACGCCCTGCACTGCCTGGTCCTTGGAAATCACAACATGTGGATCACGGCTTTCATCAACAATCGGTACCACTTTGTAGTTGGCAGAGGTTTTCCAAACCAGTTTGCTTACCCGTGTAATTAGCCCCTGCCTCTCGCTTACGGCAATAGGGGTTGACAGCAGCAGGTGGCCAGGTGGCCAGTAAATCATTGCTGTAAGCCGTAAATCCGTAATGCTTGAGGGAAGTTCTGCTTGAGGTGGGTCCGGTCGCAAGTGGAGCTGGCCTGTTGGAAAGTTGATACGAGAGCCTCTGCCCACTGCTAATAATACTGCCAGGATCGACGTGCAGTGCATCTTGAAGCTCCTGGGCTTCGTAGGAGATCCGTCGCATGACAGGCCTGCAAACCCCGCCATTTCCATGCGCATGTTTTCGCATCATGCCACCCTATGTTGCATTGCACCTGCCACTCGTTGATGATAATAGTATATTTACGGATGCAGGACTTGTAGGCTGTTCTGTCACGGATCTTCTGAGACAGCACCATGGACCAGGCTCATGAAAATCAAGGAGCTGGTTGGCTTCTGGGCTCCCTGCTCAGGAGCTGTGAATGACGAATTATCACGGAGTTCTGAAGCTGGCGCTAGAAGAGCGGCTCAAGCCTCTCAAGTATAAAAACCAAGAAACCATACAAACACTCTTGTGAGCATAGTGGGAAGACGCAGCACCCCAGCACGAGATGCTTTTTTGGCATGTTGTGTATCGTATGTCTTTTCCACGTGTTTGTCAGAGCAAGCTGCAAGCAGCCCATACTCAAAAAGCTGGGAATCCTTATCCAATCTTCATTGAAAGAACCTGAAAGAACACAACTGCCCAAGGTCAACGAGGATCCACGGAGGTATCTCGTGGCTGAACCAGTCAGTGCCAGGACCTCATGCTTCTCTGTTTGCCGGAATTGCGAACAAAGGGCGAGCAGACACGTCGCACAAATCCTCGGAGCAATGTTCTGATTCTCAAGGCGGATCGACTGGCACCTTCTCATGTAATTAATGGGTCTTACTCGAGCCGTGTCGTTGCTCGGGCAGTTGTCCACAAACCTTGTATGAGCTCTCAGACTCAGACAGCGATTGTGCCCTAATGCGCCTGTCATATTCGCCTTGCAAGGAAGATCAGCCGTGGTTGACTGTGTAAGACCACTATAGCACACGGAGAGGATCAGCGACATGATAATGGGTTCAGCGGCTCTCAATTTGCACTTCTGCTGGCGTGGCCGTCCTGATGGCAACACGGGCAATCATTCTGAAGCCTAGTCCTGAAGCTGCTGCTGCTGCTGCTGCAGCAGAAGCGAAGTGTACTGCAGGTCCCGCACTCTGGCATGAGGAAGCAGATAACGTGCTACACATTGCGCATGAGTCGTGAAGATCCACAGCTTCGCTTCCTTGATTTTTGACTCGGCAGCAGCAGTACTACCAAGCGTTGCCTGTGAGCATGCGAGAAAGTTTTCTCAGGTCATGGCAACCAACTTTGGAGGCCATTCTTGCAGGGGAGGTGCTTGTCAACTGAACATTTGGCACATGATTTGCCGGGGTGAGCCACTGCCCCGTTGCCAAGAGTCACGCACAAACGAGGGGGGGGGGGTATGATGCACCTGCTGCGAGGCACAAGTTTCTCTCCTGGTGCAATTTCGTGGCCACATGGCCAGCATGTGGCAGAGTCCATTTAGTACGGCAGCAGTAGCAGTAAAGGTAAGTACTGCGCATTACTTGCATGTATTGCTTTGACTTCCCTTTTTCCTTACTTGCTGTTGTTACTGCTGCTGTGGCAGGCGCAGAATCTGCTGGTCACAGATTATGCGCTCACTTCTGTCATCCAACTGCTGACTGCTAATGCTGCCCGTGTTTTTGGCATAGCAGCAGCCAGCGTATCCTAGCGGCACATCTGCGCCCAGGGCTGAGACTGGCATGCACTTCATGCATTTTCCCAAGGACAAGGGCTTGAGGCTTGAAACCTTCATTTTCAGCTTTGATCGTTTTGGCAGTTTGGGTACAGGGCTTGGGTTCAAGTGGGGTGCTTTCAACTCTCCTGCTCGTTCCAGCTTTTTTCTGTCCATTTTGTGCTTGACCCTGGTACAGATGTCTTACGATGCCCACGCCGTTCTCGCGTTACCCGACTCGCTCGCCATTCCATGTGCGCCAGGACTTTTATGACAAAGTCCTTCCGCCCGGAATGTTGTCCTGCCCTCAGCGACGTGCGGGCGTTCTTGTTCCACAATGCAAAAAGTGCAGGTAGTTGTGCATGCGTGAGCAAGCTCTACAGGGGTACAGAACTGCCTCTGAGATGCAGGCCTCGTCACAAAGCTGACGAGACCGATGAGGGCACCTACCGACCAGCCTATGTCTGCCCGGGCGCCGTGTTGTTTCTTTCTGAGGCACTGCCGTCCATGTGCGGTACAGGGAACAAATCAAAGCATGGTTAGGAATGCATAATGCGTGTGTGCTGAGCCGCTTTCTATGGATGGTCATGATACAGCCTGTCTGGAGAAGTTGGAGTTCGCATTTTCTTGCATCACTGACCAGGAATGCTGAGGGTGATCGTGGATGAATACATCCTTGTAGCCTCGTAGCTGCGTTATCGCGTTGTCTCCTCCAATGCTGCCAGGTCGTTGACGCAAGGCAGGTTGACGAAGACATGTGGTGGGAGATGTCTTCATCTAGCATCATCTAGCGATTGCCATGAAGTTTCGTGGGAAAGTCTCTGGAGAGCTGGTTTGCTCGTTTGAAGCTGGCAAGGGCAGGGCTTAGCCTATAAGCCCTCCCTACCAACATGGTGTGAATGGCTGCAACCTTTCAGCCCTGAGTTGAGGGCGCCTTTCAAAAGCTATAGCCAGAAGTCTGCCATTCAACGGAGTCAGTAGGTAATGGAGAGGGGCGTGCATCCCATCCTCTGCCTGAGTAATGGTCATTTCTTTTTTGCGGGCTAGTGAGATGATGAAGAAGGGACTACCGACATGGGAGTTGTCTCGCGTTTGCGAGCTGCAGGCACGGGACGCAGACCGGTGTCTTTGTTGGGTCCATCATTCCGTTCTTGATGGAAAGAGGTCCGGGTCTGTGATCTCCATTTGCTGTGACAGCTGTATTGCCTGTCTGCGCATGATTCTACGGAACGCTGTGTGTGCAGCTTGGAGTAGGAGAGGGGCCAGACTACGGACACATCAAGTGCTTTCTCATGGGCATAAGGTCCTATCCACACCCAGATCAAGGTTCAGAGGATGTGGGCGCTGCATCCTGTTGATAAGTCATGCTCTCAGTTTTGACTGGTAGCCGTGATCACAAACTCATGGCTAGAAGGAATCGTGCAGACTTACTTGGCAGCAACAGTCAGTCAAGCCTGCAATGTTCAAGGTTCATCCAGTACTGCAAGGAGGCCGGTTGCAGATGTTTGCATTTCCTCGGAGTTCGCCCTGATATTGCGACTCCATGCCGCTCCAAACAAAACCTGAAAAGCTCAGAAACCTTGAAACGTAGGACATTCACAACTACTTGGTCCTTGACTTAAGGCGTCCCGGGTAGGCAAAAGGCGTCTCACGAGAGCGTCACACTGGGGATTCCCATATTCTACCATATCCTGAGCGCATCATATACTGTCGCGCGGCATGTCTCCCGAGGGCGTCACACTGAATTTGGGCAGATCTCTCGAGGGCATCCACACTGCATTTCCTAGATTCCTGCATATCTGAAGTGTGTGTCATGGTAAGTTTTGTGTTGTATGTCTTTCCAGACAGTTTCTACATGCTACTTCTGATNNTCTGATGTTTCGGCATGTTTCATGTGTGGGCCGTATCCAAATCTATGATGCTCTCCGTTGAAGTAGCAGCAAACACCAGGCGCCCCAGCTTCGTGTTTCCGAAGTTGCACTTGTGGCTTCTCTTAGTTTGCCAGCGACTTCTTGGTGGTGACATGACAGCTGCCGAGGCCTATTGTTTGCGAATGTTTGTGAATGTTTAAATGGTGATCTCATGATGTTGCCCCTGCACTGCGCCTGTCCACCCCACTGCATTAAATGACTGTTGAGAGCTGTGTTGCTCAAAGATGTAGTTTCATTGTGTGTTTTGTCAACTCCTCGCTTCCCCCAATCCTGTTCGGGCTCATCCGTCTGCATGGCCCTTCTATCTTCTTGAGCCCAACAACCTGTCTTCTCATTGTCTCCGAGACTGTGCCATGCACGTCTCATGGGTTTCAGGAGGCTGTTTCCTGCCCAGAATGATCTTGCTTGAGGGTTTTGAGGGAGTGGCAGAGGAGGCTACACGCTGGAAGCAACGCCGAAGCAATCTGTCAATCATATCCGTTGCACAAACTGGCCAGGCGATTGTGTGCTATCCACAATATGTTTGCAAACGGAAATGCCTGTGCAGCTCTCGCAAACAGGCAGCCATGCCCAATTTTGTCCAGCTGGGGGGAGGCAAAGGGTTGGTGGTTGGCAAATCTCTGCACGGAATGGTGGAGCAAGGCCTGGAAAGAGACACCATAAATGGTCATGTACCAGCACAGAAAGACAGCACGCCACAATGCAGACGTGCACAAATTCGCAACCAAAAGCAAAGCCAGGACTGGGACCACTACTGCAAGAAGTTTGCTGCAGAAGGTTTGAGCGGCCCAGAGTTTCCGTGCGCCGGGTTCGCATTCCTACAGCATGATCTATGCAGATTAGCATGTCTGTGCTGACAAGACACCTGGGATGGTTTCTGCACCATGGGCTTCGTCAGTGTGTCAGTTTGGTTCTTGTGATAAAGTGCTTGTACA